GCCCGTCCGACACGTGCAGCGCCGGCTCCGCCACCCCCGCGGTGCCACTCGGTACCACCCTCACGGCCTCCCGAGAGCTCTGCGGCCGCCGTCACAGACCCCCGCGGAGGAGGAAGATGGATCCCACGCCGATACCCTTGGGACTCCCCACAATTTTACGGAAGCAAACCTTGAAGGTGCTCGCTGAAGAAGACGCTGCACCAGTGACACCCCTTCACGTTCAGGCACTGTCAGTCCCAGCAGCGCTGGTGAGAGGGCACAACACCAGGAACAGAACTCTCGGGATGCACAAACCAGCTGTAAAAGCTGGTAAACGAGGTTCTAAGCACCAGGCAGTTCGAGGAGTTACACAGTCGAGCAGCATAATGGTGGTGTTGCGGTTCAGTCGTTGGCCACCCGTGTGCGGGCACGTCCGGGAACCACAGGTCAATAAACAAGCCCCCAGCAGCCTGTAGTGACTGTTCTCAGGTGTCTGTGCCCGTTCACAGCCACCGGAGCATCTCTGACCTTCTAAGTGGCACTAGGAAAAGACAGCATCACAGGATAAACAAAAAGCTTTAGCCCTCTTTTTAAAGAAGATGCGTGTTTTGTTACGACAACCACAACAACTGATTTTTCCGCTGCTTTGTATCATCCAGGTTGTTTTCAGAGACATCAAAACACAGGACCCCCCCGCAGCCAGCACACCCTTCACTCAGCAGACTGATGGTACCTTGAAACGGACTTTGTAAGCTTGTCACTAAACTCACCTGAGAGCTGGTCGGAAAGGAAGAACGGACTAGAAAACTTTCCCTCTACAAAAGCAGAAACGTCGACAGGAGCAACGCCAGCAAAGAAAAGCACATTTTTCTAGTGGTTACGTTCGCGCTCTTTCCTCTGGAGACACACGACGGCGTGTGGAGGGTTCAAGCTTCCCAAATACAGCAACGCCTGCGAATTTAATGTGACTGAAAGGGCAGGGAGGACGCTGGCCGCCGGTGAGCAAAGCGCTGGTAATGTCAGGAGAGGTGATGCTTGTCTCCCGGTCATCGCTGCAGCACCCATTACCGCCTTCGCTTTCCCAGTTGTTCAGCCAAATTGAGACAGCAGCTGAATAAATGCAACTCCGTGCAACGTCTTCGATATTCCAGTTCTAGTATGGCCCATACAGCGTCGACCAGTGCAGAATCCGAGAAAAAGCCCAGTTGTGCTGCATCACCCCAGCAATCTAAGCATCCTTCCAACGCCCCTACGAGCCCACCTTCGTCCGTTCAAACACATTAACAGTCACATCTCTGCAACAGTCAGCAACGCTGCTACGGAAGCCTTCAGAAACGCGACGGAAACGGAGCGAAGCAGCCGGCAGTGGGGCTCGCGCTGGGGTGCAAAGCTGCCGAACACCGGAACGTGTCGTTCGTCCCAGGCAACACGCGTTCTTCTCACAGGACGTCAGAGAAACACGATTGACCAAGATGCTCTGGGAAGGGCACCAGAACCAGAGATGTTACTGAAGTCCAGGCACTGACTGTTCTCTCAGCAGAGGCAAGAAGTGGAACGGCAAGGGAGTATGTAGAACAAGGCTCCAAGACTCTAACACACAGGCCTAGTTTAAAAGTAAGAAACAGCTCCCCCCACCCCCCAAATCCTTAGTTGGTGGGGGAGCAACAGGAAGCGGGGCTCCACAACATTCCTTTGTAACTCCTGTCTTCTCTGTCACCGAATCACCCAGGTCAGAAAGGCCCTATAAGATCACCCAAAGCCACCCATCAACCACCTTAGCCAGAGCACAGGTGACGGGACAGAGCCCCGCACGGACAGTGTTCCTTACAAACAGGACGTGGGCAAGCACCGGCCTGACGGCGTGCGTTCGCGCTGTGCCCGCCGCCACGCACCCCGCTGCTCAGCGCTGCCGACAAAAGGCCAGGGGACAGAGAGGTGTCACAGTAAGAACTGAATGTTAAACGTCAGGCTCCCCAGATCTTACGTTCAAAATTCCTGCACACGCAGGCTCTGAAGTATTAAAGTCGCCAAGAAGAGCTAGTTTGCAAAACAGTCCTTTTATTGTATCCGTGCCACACATACTAGTGAAAAATAACACTCATAAAAAAGGAAAAGGAAAAGAATGCTACCTTTCCACAACATTTCTTTTAAATAAAACTTCAAGTACTCTTACATCGGTACAAAAAAACCCGACCTATCTGCCCCAAGAGGCCACCACAACACACAGCAGGTAAAACACAGTGGTTACAAATGTCATTTCTGTCAGTCCTGTGGCAAGGAAATGAGGGAAATGTTTCTATGAAAAAATACTGTGTGTGTAGGAAACTGCCACAACTTTATTCCACGTGGATACAAACGATTATACTTCAATTTGAGGCCGTGGTGGCTTGAAATTATATAACAAAATAGAAAAATGGAAAACTAATATCCCCTACACCCTGTTCGAAAGGCAGGCACTACCAAGATTAAGGAGACTCCACAGTGTTGGTAGAGGATAATTACTGTACAAGCCATAGAGCTGTCATTACCTTCAGACCAAAATAAAATGCTACCGTCCTCCTAAGGCATAAACAATAATGTCTGCAAACAATATGTACACATCATACATATTTAAAACAAGACTTAATATAAACAATAATGAACAGTATGTACAGGTCTCACCTTCTCTTCACTGCCTTGAAATACAATTTAACTACACAAGTGATGCAGCAACATATATATAAATGTACTTGTAACTCTACAGTAAAGTTCAATTTTCAGTGCTTTTACAGCACAACAGTGTAAACAGTTTTACTTGGCTTTGTTTTATATTTTAAAACATTCCTTGTTGTATTTTCAAGATTTAAAGCGATTTTCTAATTCTTCCTTTTCACAGAAAACGAAGATTCTGAATGCTGTATAATCATAAATAATTCATAAAATTAAATACATTCACTAAAAAATAAACTACAAAGTAAAAAAAATGAAAAATAGATATTTATTGAAAGGGAAAAGAGAACCATTTCCCCAAGTAGAGCTCTGGTGGTTGAATATTCAGTGCGTTTTGATATATTTTAAATTGCTATTGCACTAGAACACCCCTTTCCTTGAAATTCTTTGGGTGTGCTTCCCTGTTCTACCTAAATTCATCTGCTAAAACACACAAACCAAGAACCAAGGGGCCATGGCTGCTGTAGGAGTGAAGCCGTTCGCACGAGTATCACAAGGGTGTGATAAAGGAAAACACAGTCATCAGTTACGCGTGTGCCTTGCACCGTCATGGAAATACAGTTCACGTGGCTGGTCTCAAAGAGTCCTTTAATGAAAACCAAGATAAAACAGAAGAACAACAAAAGAAGAGAGCTCAGGAACTTCAGCTCTCCTGAAACACCTCTGTCCATTTCTTTTTGAAGTACTTCCGCATGCTGTGGCCAGCCCTGCCGACGTCGGAATCGTCTTCGTTGAAGGTTTCGCAGTTGTCAAAAACAAGCCCGATGTCAAGCGAAAACGCTTCACGATTTGGGTACCTGAAAGAAGCGAAAGGTGACCGGTTTTTGGGGCCTGGAGAGTTAACGGGGAACAGGACTTCAACCGCATGAGGAAGCGCTACCGGGAGGTCGGTGTAGGAACCACCACCACAGCACCTTCACCCAGCGCTCGTCCTGTTAACTGCACTTCCCTCTTCTTAATTCTCACCGAAACCTTAACAGGGAAACGAGCACCAGGGGAAGGGAGGAGTCTCCCACTGCAGTCATCGTTCTCCTCAAAAGCTCTGCGAGGTGAATTCTGAGCCCGCACGGGAAAACAAACTTCGCAAAGATTAGCTGCCCCCTCCCTTCAGCAGCCTCCCAGTTACAACGCTACGGGGAGCTGCCGTTTGGGCATCTGCTCCCGGGCTCAAGTCCCGGCAGAGCCAGTGTGGAGCAGGGCTGCACTGAGCCAAAAGCTGAACAACCAGGAACAACAGGGCGCCCAGCTCAACCCCGGGACGCTGTCTTTGTCACCCGTTTTGTCCTCCTGAACACACCTGGGCCGGAGCATCCCCGTATTCCTAGGAATTACCAACAGGCTGCACGTCTCTCGCTTGTGAAGGGCGCGTGTGGCGCAGTTAAACCGTGGGGTCAAGGGAGGAAAAACCCAAAGCGGTGAGAGAGGCCCGTGTGTTCTCCCGGGCAGCCGGGGTGTGCGGAGCTGACAGGCGCTGGGGCCGAGCACTCTCTGGGGGTGCCAGAACGTCCTAGGTGGCGGGGTCCTTACACACAGGGCTGTGACAAGGGGGGAAGGGGACGCAGGCGTGTAGTGTCTTTTTCTCTTTTGTGAAGTTGTGCATCTAATTCTGGAGCTACAGAGCAATTAAACACCAGTACTGGGACGCTGCCCACAAAGGGACACCAACTGAGCTCCAGCAGCATTTACAGGGACTCCACCAGCCTAAAAAGCACGCCCCTGGCTCTTGCCTCCACCTTACAATGCCACGATGCGTCCACGAGAAAAGATGAGGGGAAAGGTTTTCCTGTTGGCTGATTTTGTGCGTCTGACCTGGCAGTTTTATTGTTTTCCAGCCAGTTCCAGAGGCTCTCCCACCTCACCCGCTGTTTCACGCAGACGTGGCAAAGGCCAAAGCGTGCAGCGAAGAGCTGGTCCTGTGCCCGTGGAAGTGACCACAGAGGTGCCAGAGCAAGCAGTTTAACATTCTACAAGTGTACCGTTAGATATTCTTCACATGTGAAGTCAGACGTACAACAGGTTTACTTACTGTCCACTGCTTAGCTTGTCTTTAATGGTGGAAAAGTCCATAGGCTTTTTAATGACCTTCTTGTAACCAGGAACAAGTTTCAAGTTTACAGGCAGTAAGAAAGGCCAGGCATCTTCTTGAGTCTCCAATTGTGAGAGAATCATGCTGAATAAAAGAAAAGAAGGTTTTAAATCAGTGTTGTTAAGCTGTTCATATACTGACAGAGGTTTTTCACTGCTCCATAATTCATCATACACTGCCAACCTCCTCGCATTATGAAGGGAAGCGCTTCACTCTGCGCAAGGCTGAGAGCGGCGTCCGTGAAGAGAGACATCTGAACTGCGTATTTAAACCAGTATGAAGGTCTCTCCAGGCAGCCTACGTACAATGACATTCTACTGATCGACTTACTCAAAGAACAACTCAGCCCTGCAATGTCCCTGCTTGGAGCCGCAACGTAAGCCAGTGGCAAACCAGCAGGCCAGGTGCCGGTGCAGGCTCCCCGCCCCGAGGCAGCTAACCTACGTCCCTCCTGACGGAGCAGCAGCACCACAAAGGAAGGTGCGTCCCTGTTAGTGCCCCCTCCACGCTGCCTTTTGGACACCACGGAAAGTCACCTTTGCTACACATGGGAAGCTGGTAGTGCCACTGCTGTCGGGGATCTTCCCACCCTTGGAAGGGCGTGCAGGAGTGGATTTCAGAGACCAGTCTGGCACAGGTGTTCTGCTCTTGGGCTACATCACCGAATACGCAGCTACCCAGCGCGCACACGTCACCTCCTGTGTATGTACGCCCAGGTGATCCCGACCTGCCTGGGACACGTGGCAAAGACTATGGCTTCTGCCCCCCAGAGCACAGATGAAAGGCATCAGGCACTTTACCTGCAGATGGCCAGGTCCTTGGAGTCATCTCGTTTAGGTTTCTTAACAGCAATGACATTTTCTTGCTTTAGCTGGCTTACAGAAGCATTCTCATCCATTTTTCTTTTTTTAGGGTCTGTTTTTCCTCTTTTTAAGGAAGTTCTTGTAGTAGCAGAGTCTTCCTCCTCTGCATCTCCTGCTGATTTCCTGCTTCTCTTCTGTTCATGACTTTTTTTCCGTTTGATTTTAAGCTTTTTTATTTTTAGAGTCTGACCACTTGCCTACAACGGGGAGAAACGAAATTAGCAACAACCAGGAACTTAGAGAAACCTGCTGTTACCGACAGACAGCACCAAAGGTCAGACTTCGCCTGAAGCACCAAAACAACTGAAATACTTAGTACCAAAGATTATTCCCTTTTTGCTCTCCTCTACAGGCAAGGAGGGCCGCAGGAATCCCTGTTACTAGTGGCTCAGGTTCTCCACTAGTGACAGCAGGAAAGCACCCGACCTTCTGCCTCTTCCCTCACAGTCTCCACAGGTAGTGACAGAACACAGCCAGCGACTTCAGCCAACGGTGCGTTCAGATTTAGGACAAGGGATGGTGAAACAGCGGGCTTTTAAACACCATGACTGCTGTCAGTCCTCTGAACACAGTTGTTGTGAAGTCCTGCTGAGACTGTCCGTAGGAGGGGAAAACAGAATCAGAGCTCCCACAGGAAACGCACCCAGGCTGCTCCAATGTAGTGCGTATCGAGGAAGTACAGCCCAAAAGTGCTGTACCAGCGTGACAGACAACAGTCCTCTCACTTTTCTGTTCCAACAGAATCTGACATTGGTCTGTCAACACCTCCAGTGAAACACTGGACCAATTCTAAAGAGAAATAAAACACTTGGGTATTGACTCGAGATTACATGAAAAGTACAGTTTAAACCAAAACTGTAGCCTTCGCTGCTGCCGAAACCCAAGTTGCCTGAAGCTCAGGCACTGCGGGCAGCCCAACACAGAGCACACGTGTCCCGGGGAGCCTCAGCAGGGCGGTCTGCGTTACCTTCGCTATGCAGGCAGGACAAAACCAGTCCCCGTCCGGAATGGTGGTGATCTTGGGTCTGTGGCAGTAGGTGTGACAGCCTTTGTCGCAGCCGTCACACAGGAGCAGCAGTTCCTCGTTGTCTCCTTTTCGGCAGATCTGGCAGTACTGCGATACACAAAAAACAGCTCCAAGTCAGCGTTTAAACTGGCAGCACAGGAGTGGTCCCTGAATCGCCCCTCCTCTCCAAATGCACAGACTCCCTCTCAAAACGACTCTTCTTTCTCTTTACCGCAATCAGAGTCGACTAAAGATCGCCTTCGTCGTGAACACATGCAGTAAGGGAGGAACTAAGCCAAGACTCACGTTTGGGAACGCATTTGAGAAGCAACTCCTGCCGGGAGAGGTGTCCCTCAGCACCCAAAGCCACAAGCACGCCACACTTCCAACGGGCATGAGACGTGAAGGTGTCTCACAGCCAGCAACGCCACCCGGCCCACACCTACCGTCTCTGGAACCTTCCTTCGGCACGCCCAGACCGCACACCTAAGGACTATTTCCTAAGAGCCATTTACATTCTACGACAGTGTTTTCAAACAGTCATCAGTACGGATCGTCTCCAAAGGCACCACGAATAACTTCAGCAGGGCAAAGCTAATAATCCCAGCACCTCCTAAACTTCACGCTGGCTTAAAAACACCCAACGGATTGTCCGTTCTCTTGCACACGTTGTGTGACTCTGATCCTCCTCTGTATCACAACTTCTTTCTCATAAACGTAAAGAGCGCCACATTTTCCCCAAACACCCTGATTTCCTGTGTAATCGAATGTGGGGAACGTGTCAGTCAAACCGAGAACAGCACTACCGTTACCAACCTCGGACCAGTCAAACGCCTTTCCAGGTGCTTCCACTCAATTCACACTCCTTCTGCTCTACAGACACGCCTTTAAACTTTGAGCCTCACAGCGTCAGACCTCGAGCCTTACACCGCAGGTCTTATTTAAATCCTTTAGCTATCCAGACACAACCAGAATTTGTGCAAGAGTGGCAGAAATTGAAAAATTAGGGATGAGTCCACTAATGGAAGAATCACTTTCACCACCCACGGCAAAGCACTGGCCACACTTCATCACACCTGAATCACTATTTCTCCCGGTTCTGGCTGGGCCAGAGTTGATTTTCTTCCTAGCAGCTGGTAGCGTCTGCGTTTTGGATTTGGGATGAGACTAACGCTGATGCAAACCGACGTTTCAGCGGCTGTGTGGCGCTGAGCTGCCGCTGCGGTTAAACCACGACACCACTGCTGTAGCAAGGGGTTTGTTTTCAGAAACGGGAGGCTCAAAGGTCCATGCAGATTTGGACAAGTGCAGTTTGCTTGCCTTCTCTGTATATGCAGTTAAGACAGACCTACTGTCAGGTGTTCAAGGAAACGGGTGTTTCGCCCCAGCCGCTCGCACACCTGCCCAAGTTACGCGTTCAGTTGTGCGCAGCGTGCGTGCAAAGCAGCCACACGTTTGGGGCACCTCAACTTTCTGAAAAACAAAGTCCTGAACTGGGATATGAGATGCTGAACCTCCACAAAGCTCATGTCACGGATGAGATCAGAAATATTCCGTCAGACAGAGCACCTTCCATCAGAGGGAGCCAGAAACTGCCCTTTCTAACCTAACTGTTCACAAAACGGTAATTACATCAGTGCACAAGGGAAGAGCTATGGATGTCATCAATCTGGACTTCTGTAAGGCCTCTGGCACAGCCCCCCACATCCTCCTCTCTAAACTGGAGAGATAGGGATGTGATGGGTAAGGAATTGGCTGCATGGCTGCATCCAGAGGGTACTTGTCAACGGCTGAACATCCAGAGAGAGACTGGTGACAAGCGGCGTCTATCAGGGGTCTGTACTGGACCAGGACTGTTAAGTATCTTCATCAGTGACACAGTGGGATCAAGTGCACCCTCAGCAAGTTTGCAGACAACTCCAAGCTGAGCGAGGCAGTTGATGTGTCTGCGGGATCGGACGCCAGCCAGAGGGGTCTGGACAAGCTCGAGAAGTGGGCCCATGCGAACCTCAAGAGGTTCAGCGAGGCCAAGCGCAAGGTCCTGAACCTGGGACGTGGCAGTCTCAAGCTGCGGATGCCCCGTCCCTGGGAGGATGGGACCAAGTGTTCAAGGTCGGGCTGGACGAGGCTTTGAACAACTGATCGAGTTGAAGATGTCCCCTGTCCATGGCAGGAGGACTAGATGACCTTTAAAGGTCCCTTCCAACTCAAACTAGTCCGACTCCATGATTACCATCTTAAATAAAGCAACTAGTTACAGGGGCCTTTTTTGTCACAAGTTCAGGATGCGGAACGTGGCGCGAGAGGGCCAATCTCTTCCTTCAGGCTTCTATTTGCGCACAATGTCCAGCTTAACTACGCTAAGGTCCACACGCAGTAATCAGAGATGCATTAACAACCATGTTATCTTAAAATGCCAGGGCCTAAAGTGGGAAAACTGGATACAACAAAAATAGTTTAGTTACAGGGTTTTTGAAATTAAAAACACTTACAACTTTCATAATAGATTTTTCCCACGCTATTGACTTCTGCAGCTGCTGAAGGCACAGAGCTACCTGCGCAGCACTGCGCGCTTCTGACAAGGCCTTTCTCCACACCCTCAGCCCTGGAGCAATGTCCTCTTCGGTTCTGCATTGAAATACAGAGATCAAGCAGGTTACGCCCGTGTTTGCTTCTGTTTAACTGTGCAACAATCATCATCACACTGAAAGCCAAGCAATGACAAAACGTACACAGCCAATAAGTATAAGGTTTAAGCAACTAAATTTCATGTAGTGCACAGACTGTGGCTACGTGCCTCAAAGCTTAGTCACAACCAGTTAAATGGAAGATAACTTTGCATTATCAACAAACATAACAAAAAAATATCTTTACAAAGCACCATGCAGAATAACATGATCCACACGGATCACAGACATACAAGAAAGTACATAGATAACAGGCAATAAGAAAATAGGCTCCAATTAGCAAAGAAGCACAATAATTTTTCAAGTTAATCTCAAGAACCTACCCGTCACCATCACCACTAATGGATGGTGCAGGAGCAGGGACAGTAACTGTGCCCACATTATCCAGTTTGATCTGAATGGTGGTACTTAAGGGGCTCTTCAGATACCTTCGCTCTATGTTCCGCTCCAAGTCAGCAAGCCTGGTTACAGCTATATCTAGAGGGTTGTCACTCTGCCGCTCTAGAGCGCTGGTATTGCCTTCTCCGTCTCCAGCAAAATCTCCATCCTGCGTCTTGTGCAATCTAGTAACTGACTTATGTTCACGATATACCAAGTCGTCTCTCTCTGATGCAGGTTCAGGACACAGCCAGCCCTATGTTAACAGAAAGGTTTGTGCATTTATTGCTTGCTGCTAACTCAGGGTGTACACAGAGGAACTGTTTTATGGAATCAATCTAAGTCGCGGAAGCGCCGTTTCCAGGAGATCTTGGTTACGTGTAATCCATCTGTAGAGACAGTTTCCAAAATATCCAGAGAACTAAAATAATTAATCAAAAAATACAAGCATTACCAGACTTTCTGAAAGGACCTTTCTGCCACAGTCTGCGTTCTGATCTCGTGGGAAGTGTCCTGTTCTAGTGGCTGACACATACGAATCGGTCTGTCTGTCCACCAGGCTCAGAGACAGGATCAGTTGCTCACACTGCAGTAACATCCACCCCTGGGACAAACCAGACCCCAATACTGCATCTGGGCTACAGCCACACACAGGCCACTTGTCATCCTTACACCCACCTCGGCAAAATTCCAGGCTGCAATGAAAGCCCGTGAATTCCAACACGCTCGCACCCGTCACGCGCTCTCCAGGACATACGGCGCTCAAGCAGAGTATTACGATGTGCCCGTAGGCTTTTCTGAAAGCGTCAACAGCAACGACCGCCCAAAGCAGGCAGAGCTGTGGCAAACCCCACTGCAGCGCAGCCGTGCGCAGGCAGTGAGATCCGTGCCCCGCTGGAAGGGACCCAAATGCGCGTGTGCCACAGCACCGCCAGAACGGCCACTCTGAGCAGCTTCAGCTGAGGGCGCAACCGCAGTGAAGTGCTTCGAACACCGACATCCATGCACTGCTGCAGTGCGTTTGTTGTGTTTGCAGACAGTAAGAGACCCCCAAGGCGGCACTTACCAACGGCAAAAGGAGCGCTACTGCCTACTTCAAAACTCTCACTGCTTATTTTAAAGAGACATTTTACTGAAAGTTGGTTTTACCTTAACTTGTAAACTAGCTGATGCAACTCTCCTCTCTAGATCTTCCACCTGCTGAAGAATAGCAACATCCATCTCCATTGCTTGTTCTTCTACTGACCAGTTTTCCACAGCATCTCGAGTTACCTGGTTATCTTCATTTTCATTGGTATCAATAATTGCAACTGTATTTGAGAATCACATTTTTGTTATTTTAATTAGTATTATAACTTCTCTGAGTAAATTCACACCGATTTACCTGTCACTCCAGTCAATGTTGAAGAACTGTTGTAAAAGTGTGCTACTCTTAAGGTACCCAACATGAACAACAAAGTCTGCAGGTTTTCAGACTTAAAGGCAAGAAGGGGAAGAAGAGGCTGAGCTAGACAGCCACAAAGATGGCAAGAGCTTAAAAAGGTTACCAGTGCTTATGCCACTGGAGCATTCTCCAATCCCACAGCTTCCCAGAACAAGACTGGTGAAAAGGCAAGTATGGACAATGAGACCTTCACCTTTTTCTTCCAGCCGCTACTCTAACTCTGCATCTGAAGACATCTCTGAGCTCTACGCCCACCGTCCTGCGCCCCAACACCACGCGGAACAACTATCAGTTACATACCGTCCTTATTTTTGGTGCAGGCCAGGGTGATATAATCCATGTGTTTCTGTATTTGCTTCTGTAAGGCCTTTTCTCTTATTCCCCTGAGATGCAGCACTTTAAGCAAAGATTTCAGGTCCTCCGGGTCAGTAATCCTCCACCAGCCGTACTGCATTTCTGAATAAAGACCAACATACAAAGCCACTTTGCAGGCACTGCTGCTGTGATGACACACAGATCAGAGAATGCATCGAGCCAAATTTAACAGGCCAACGACTACCAAAACAGTTGTAACATCTCAGTGGCACTGCCAAAATTATCCTTCACATAGCTCGAGCTCATTGTTGTATTACACTTACCTTCTGGTATGGGTTTTGGGTTAGGATAATCTACTGGCTTGGCTACTTCAACTGCTGAAGAAGGGCCAGAAGCTGGTTTTTCAGTCTGTGGTGCTGGTGATTCAGTTTTACTTGCAGGAACACTAGATGCCATGAATGAGTTACCATTCACTTCTGATAATCCCAACCCTGATCCGAGAGCAGGCAACGGAGAGGAAAACGGAACATTTGAAGGAAGAACTCCCGTAGGCCATCCACAAAACTGAAGTCCCATCATTGGCAGTCCAGTCTTCATCTGCTGCACAGAACATATTGTTACCACAGTCACAACTACCATCATTAATTATTACCAAGAAACAGGAGTTAGGATTAGGATGCTATTTGTCAAACCATAACCAAAACATGAAGGAGGCCTTTACTCAATATTTCAGTTTAAAAAGTCCCTTTTTAAAACATAACCTTCCCGCAGAGGGTGGGAGCACTGGGACAGGTTGCCCAGAGAAGTTGTGGATGCCCCATCCCTGGGAGTGTCCAAGGCCAGGCTGGATGAGGCTTGGAGCACCCTGGGCTATGGAAGGTGTCCCCGCCCATGGCAGGGGGTGGCACTGGGTGGGCTTTATGGGCCCTCCCAACCCAAACCGTTCCACGATTCTAACACTAATGTGTAATATTCCATACTGGGGCCCTGTTAATGCTCAACAAGTAATAGCTTTTAAAAGGGTGTGGTGTGTCACATTCCTGAGAACTAGTTTTTACTTATTTATTTGCTTGTCATTTAGTACCAGTGGCCAACCTCCTAGAAGCCAAATTAAATTGCTGAACCCATGTATAAAGCATCATACACTGGCTTACCTAATCCTACCGATCCTACTCCTTTTTATCTAAAAGCTTCTGGTATTACAAACCATCTGCAACAGGGCCCTTGTTACCAAGATTCAGAAACAAACCCACGAAATGTAACGCTAAGATGTAATGACAGCACTTCTGGGAACCAACTTGTCCGAGCAGAAATTCTGCCCGAAGAAGCACGGCAAATGCAGACTTTCAACCACGCCTTTACCTGCAGCGGTGACAGGGCAAAAGGACTTAATCCCATCGGACTCTGTGCGGAGGCTGAGCCCAGCAGAGGCGACGGAACAGGCGAAGGCGACTTCGATGGCGGATGTGACTGAGGAGTAAGTGACGCCGCAGTGGCTGGAGCGTCTACGTTGGTAACCGACATGTCATCACAGGGCGTCCTCGGCAAAAGGCTGAACCACTGCCTGTCCTTCTCAGTGAGGGTCTTCAGCAACTGGTCGTTTGGAGCTACGGGAGAACCGTAGAACTTTCCTGGCCCGCTTGCATTCGGACTGAAGAGATTATTGGAATCGGGCTTCTCGGGGGTGCCCTGCGGCGCCGGTGGCTGAGGACCGCAGAGGGAGTTCCCCGGGTAAGACAACGCGCAGCCGTTGGCTGTGCTGCCGTTCGGTTTTGGGGACACGACGTCGGATTCCGGTGGCATTTTTGCTACCTCTAACAGTTTGCTCAGTTTTGAGAACGACCCAGGCTTTTGTAAAAATAAATTAGTGTTGTCCGTTTCTTTCAGATCTTCCTTTTGCTCACAGTGAGTTGTATTTAAACAGTCTAATTTTTCTTCTGTCTCAGATTCTTCTTCTTTGACTTGCATGCTTTCTACCTTTTCTAACTTCTCTTTTTCTTTCGCAATTTCTTCTAAGCCTAAGAATGGAAAGAAAGATAAGTGAAACACCACAGATCAACTCCCTTAGACCATTTTTCCCATAGTTAAATACAAAATTACTTCATTTTTGGCACAGTAGAGGCTAGATTGCAATGTCTGTGTCTGTCTGGTTTTTACACAAAATCACTTCTCAATTGACAGAGCACGTCACAGAAGGAAACAAGCTTTGAGGCACCCACAGGCTTAAACCCTACTGAAAACTTCCAAAATACTAACTCTCATTTTTGAAGATATTAACCACTACTTCATCGTCGGAAAGAGAGCGCCAGCGCGGGAACAGAGGCGCCTCCTGACAGCAGCCTGTTCAGGCCCTGGGCGGCGGTGAAGCCAAAGCCGGGGCCGCACACAATCCCAGCTGCAGAGCTGGGCAGGACGTGCTGGCACAGCACCCCTCAGTGGGACATCACTCCTTCGCGTTTCTTACCTTCCCCGCTTTCCATGCCTTCTACAAACACACCCCCACACTGGGGCAGAATCCAGAACCGACGCCTGTAACGATCCTGGCCAAACATCATCGAGCGCAAACAGTGCGAAGCTTCAAATAACTTCTTTCGGTACTGGCACTGTTGCTGTTTTAAAAAAGGAAAGGATTTTAAGTCAGTAGTGGGGAAGATTTGTTACAACCACAAACATCTCCTGGCTGCCAGCCTGAGCCCAAGTTCAAGGGTGCCACCCGCGTGCGTGAGTGACATCCCACTGCCCTGACGGCCGCAGCGACAGAGCTCCCTTCAGAACCGGCAACCCAGGCGCAGCCTGGTTCAGCTTCGCAGCCCTCCCTTAAAAACACACTCTGCGCGGGAGATTGTCCTGCGAACACTGATCCCCAGAGAACAGGATCCCAGATTTCCCGGCACCAGCAGAGCCCACCTCCTGCCGGCTCTCCAGCAAGAGAGCACTGGAGGCAGCTGACACCGCTGCCCCGGAGCGGGGCTCACGAGAGACCTTCACGGGCTTGGAGCAGCACGGGAACAGTCCTGTCTGCAGGCAGATGCCGTACCCAAACCCCACCAGTTCTCTGCGTGGGGCCAGCAAGAACTGCAGCTCACTTATTCAGCTCTTGCTCTGCTAAGCCGACACTCCTGGAAGTCAGAGCTAATTCTGGACAGGACACGCCCCGCGATTTGGAACACGGGAGACACCCAGAGACAAAACTTTGAAGTAACGCGTTTTCTAACCGGAAGAATGAGAAAATGCCACAAGCAGCCCTGCCTACGGCACTCTCTCTCATTTACATTTCTCTCTATTCCATTGCTTCTTCTCCCCCAGACATCCCGTACAAGCACTGTGCCGGCCTGAGCACAGCTGCAGGAACCAGCCAACGGCAGGAGGCGAGAGCTGCAACCGTCTCTGTGACAGAAAAGTCACTGCTTCTTGTAGAGAGCGATGACAGATTTTGTGTCAGATCAAAGAGAACTACGTCAACTAGGTCTGGGTAAAAAGGATACTGCTTGTCATTCCAAAACGTGCAAGCACATGATCAACAGCTTTCTGTCTTCTGAGTCCCCCCACTTAATGCTGCCAGACCAAAGTCAAGATTCGGGTGTCATGAGCAGCAGGTGCCCTCCTTCACATTTTCACAAAACAAAAGATTATTTCAGTTTCTGTAAGTTGGAGCCCTGAGACCGACGGTCCCCAGCGTAACTCATGACATCGCGACGGTACAAAGACTAATGGCCTCTCACCTTTGACAGTTTTTCCATCTGCTTCTCAAGTTCTTCAACACTTGCTGTCTGGTCCCCATCATCCTGTAATCACCACATACACTGTCACACCACCCTGCTTTCAGGACAAAAATCATACTACCACGTCCTACTGATGTTACAGTAAAAAGAGGAAACAGAAAATGAGAGGCAACTTCTAATGGTAAAAGAAGTTGCAATTCTGTGCTTGTTCAGTATATCTGACCAGGAACAGCACAACTGGAACCAGATGTGTCTTGAATCTTTCCACACCATCCTAGATGCGCATGAAGGAGGGAATTTGTGGCCAAATATTTGCTGAAAACATTCTTTTACTGGAAGATATATTTCATTTTGCGCATGAACACATAAAACTAGAGAATTTAACCTTAGTTCCTATGAAACTTTTTGGATATTCCAATTAATTTCCTTAAACTTCACTGTGACCTTCAACCATCCCACATGAGCGGGCCTCTTTCTGGCAAAGAGTGCGACAGCCAGCGCACTCAGAGGCAGTATTCGGTACTGCTTGTTTCACCCAGAGGGGAACCCCCAAGGTCTGCAGTGAATCCTAGAGGCCTGTGGCACTTCTGTTAAACCCATCTTTTGAGAACTGTGGACACAATTCAGCTCAAGAAGCTGAAAATGTTTCAGTGATCCTTCCTGCATCTTATCTGAGAGCGACTAGTAAAATCTCTCCTGTGACCCCATCAGTCGCGCAGCGACGGCCCTAGAGAAGTTGCAAAACAATACAGAGCCACAGGCAAGCTTTGTACCAGGCAACAGTGAACTCCACACATCCTTACTGCGGTCTGAACTACAAGGTGGCCTTTCCTCTCCTCCAAAAGGAAGCTGCAGTCATGCCCATTTGCTAACCAAGCTGCAGCACTACAGATCTGGTACGATCTCGTGGAATTTCAGAGAAATTAAGACTAAGTCAGAACAAAAAAGCAGAAAAACCCAAACCACAACAAACCCCCCCCCAACCTGTACTGTAACAGCTATCAAAAACCCAACCACACTCCAAAAACTAAACTTATTCCAGAAGTTTAAAAAAACTGGAGCTAAGTTCTTCCTTCCTGTTTAATGGGCGGCTGTGGGGGAGCGGCACCACACTGCAGGGACACAGCAGAACACAGGCTTGAACTACTAAGTGTCACTGTACTTAAAAATCCCTCACCTCATCCTCACAGACTTCTGCCTTCTTTCCTTTCTTATCTTCCTTGTCCTCTTCATCCTCATCATCCTCATCTGCCTGATCGTCACTGTCGTCATCATAGTCTTCATCAAAATCACTGTCACCCATCTTTCGCTTGCGTTTGCGGCCTGGTGCTGGCGTCTCCAGGGCGTGCTGCTCCTCTCCGACATCAGCACCTCCTGCAGCATCTCTTTTGCCAGTCTTCTTGGCATGAATGTTTTTAAGCCTGGAAAGACACGACAAGGGGTTAAGTCATGGAGCACGTCTGTCACACAAACGCCTTTCCATGCGACTGCAAGGAAGACATACGCTTCAGATTCAGATTAGCTTTTCTGTTCTAAGATGATGCTGCAGTTTCTCAAAATCTACTGCCATTAGTCAACAAGAAAAAGTCAGGTTATAAACCTCCTAAAGACTCGTATTCAGCTCTGACTGGAATTTCGGCTTCACCTCGGTGAATTTTATTGCGGAAATGTTCAGAAGACACAGCACAGGAGGGGTTTTGAAAGGCAGGAAGGACAATTAGCAGAAAGAACCATCTCAACTTCTTTATCTTTTGGTTTATGCATTTAAGAATATGATCATAAAATACCTACGTCTGGGGGGGAAAGGCAAAAATCCTCAGCTGAAAGTACGGCATTATTTCCATTTGCACGGCAACAGCAAGGTTAGCTTTGGGGTTTTCTCAGCTCAGATTTTAGCCAGTTTTAGTTCATTATATACTGCTTGACCTTGGTCCTTCGGCTGATCTTTCGGTTCTAGGACATACCTTCCTTTCTGAGCGACCTTAGCTACCTGAGGTACTGGGCCATTACTCACTCAAACTCTCATTTTTCCTTTTATGAAAGAAAAGGGAAACTTACATACCAGTAATTATGGTTGTAGTAGACCTTCTTCTTCTATAAAACCCCTATAAGACAAGATTCCACACAGCAATAATTACAGTTCCACCTATCAGGGAGCTCGCAGGCAACATGCTGCATGACAGGAGGTAAAAATAGCCAGACCCAACCAGTCCCTTCGAATGCAGACCAAAAATGCAACTGACTTAGAAGAGATGCATAAACATGTGTAGGAAAGACAAAGATTTTGTAAGAGATGGCTGGAAGACGGCAGGATGGGAAAAGTAGAACGGTAACGACAAACACAATTACCAGTACGTAATTCTTCCTTGTCATACTTCTCTCTCTTCCCATCCTACAAAACAATATTCCATACAGCAAGTGGCTACCAGCATGGTGAAAGCAGCAGAAGTCCTGGCCTTGGGCACACTGACGAAGGCATCAGCCTTTCGAGCTGCCGAAAGCCAAGGCAGCGCTCGGCAGCGCAGATCCCAATGAAGGTGTCTCCACCCAGCTGGGAGCAGCACTCTGCAGCAGCACTTTCCGAAGAGCCTGCTGCCAAGGAATCATCAAGGGGCCTTCGGTGTGCCTGAAAACCACTGGGCTTCAGCTTTCTCCGGGCTATCTTTTTTCCTGTTTTGTTTGGGTGTTGTAATGCAGTGGTTAATCCACTGGGGAATTCAGAAGTTTGCCATTTGCACTGGAAAATTAGAAGTGTATTTGTAGCTATTTAAAATAATTTTTTATAAAAAAAATTCCCCAGCCTTCCAGCGAGCTTGGAAGCAAGTAGCATTTTCAGGTCTGAAGCAAAAGACCTCAGTCTCACTGCGTATCAGTACTACTCAGCTTCCACTGGAAAAGTTTTTTAGGAAAAAACCTTCCTTTTTACAAGTGTAACTTCAAACCATCTGGTCCCCATCAGGAGGAAATTCCTGCCTACACACAGGAATGAGCTACCAACCAAACCACTAGTCAGCGGCTGGACTGACTGCTGCGTGACTGGACAATGGGGCAGACAAAGCAGACAATTCAGTAACAGTCTGGCAGGCCGAAGTTCAACGACCAGCAAACCCCTCTTTCCTACTCTTAAAAGAAAGGAGCAAAAGCCAAAAGGCTACTTTTGCTGAAAGCAACACCACCGATACAATGCTCTCAAGCCCTAAAGGAAGCCCGCGTGACGCTGCAAACTGTACGGATGGAAAGGAGTCGGAGGTGCTCTAACAGCGCTGTACGCCCCACTCAGCACTCTGCATCCCAAGCAGCGCAGAGGCAAAACCCATGAGAGGGTCACTTAAACATCCAGCTATTTCAAGAGGCAGCACGATTTTCCTGCTGGTACCCAGACATGGCTCACAGAGAAGGAAATCTTCCCTTGGAAAACGGTTTCCTCTTTCTCGCTTTCAGTGTACACCATGACGACATCTGCAACTGTCGAGTGACTGACAAAGTCCTTTGGCCTATGAAAAGAGTGCGTGGCCCCTCACTCAGATGTGTGACTTCAGCCGACTCTAACCCATTTAGTTTTCTAGGTCATAGAAGGAAAACTCCCTTTTTGACTTCATTTGTATGCCTTCCTCATAATTTCTGAACATAAATATTACGTAGTCTCTGGCCTGCAGCTGACACAAAAAGCGCAGAGGACGATGAAGGTGGGTGCCTTTTCAAAACCCCTGAATAGCACTGAAATTCACATCTCAACATGACGGAGAAGGAACAAGGGGCAACTTCTCACCGACCATCGGCCCAGCAACACAGTGCAGGCAGCTCCGAATTCACTTCCCAACCACAGATGGCACTTGCCAAGGAATGTTGTTCAATAACCCTAAAGAGAGGAGGAGGGGGGAAACACAGAAAGCATCCCTATAGGCTTTTAAAGAATGATTCCTTTTTCCAACCTGGCATTTTAACGTTGCTTTTTTGTATCACACAAGCACAGGTTTTCATACGAGCTTTTTGGTGGCCCGGGTGAGGACACCCTAACAACTGAGGATGTAAGCACAAAGTGTCACTTGGCGGACACAAAGGATACAGGCCGAATCGTTGCTCATCCCCCTGGATGCAGCTTCAAGGCGGTCTGGACACAGTGGGATGAAGATTCACCACAACAGACACCGGCGAACGAGGCAGAGATAAACTAGCTCCACTCCTCAGCCCCGTTCCTCTCCCACCCCACACACGACGGGCTTGCGGAGCGCCACGTACAGGTCTGCGTGCGCACCAGAGGAGCAGACGCTGGTCGCGTGGCAGGGTCGAGGAACCAGATCGTCCTGTGCACGACTGTCTGGGACTGGGACGCTCAGAAACGGCACTGAGCTTCGATACGGACAGGGGAACGTAAGGGCGTAAGAATCTGGTCTGGAAGCAGAAACAAAGACCAAACAGAGGCCTGAAACGGCCACATTTCTTTTCAGAGAAGCTCCAGAGCAGTGGCAGGAGTTGATGAAAAACACCAACTAATGTAACAAGGAAGAAAACAGAGTTCAAAGCTGATGAACGGCGGCGCTTCTGAACAGCTTCTTCAGAAAGAACAGTGGGAAGTCCACAGATTCTGAACCAAAGATGAGAGAGAGAATTCAGCCCAGTGAATCCAAAGCAGCAAAAAGAACGTCGTCTCCGAGCACCCCGCGGTACTTATTGCAAACAGGGATGGCACCACTGGAACCCGAAATCCACACAGGGGGAATACACGGGCGATGAGAAATGACTGCAGCAAGGAAGAGGGGCCTGGGAGCTCAGGGCAATCTGCTGCTACTTGGAAGGGAAGAAAAGAGAGGTGGCCAGGAAACAGGAGGATCCTACAGCTACAAGTACTTACAGTTTGACGGAGGGAGAGAAAGACTGAGCCATCCCTGAGGAGACACAGAGAGGGAAGGGTTCCATTGCACTAACGGGACAATCGGCTACATCAGAACTTCAGAAGCACTTTTTAAAGTACATCCCATAGAAGGGACACAGATGAAGACAGAAAAGGGTATTTGGACTGTCCTAAAGGCAAAATACATTAACCCTGTGCAGACCAGGATCTGCAGCATTAGGACAGAGTTTCTTTTTACTGGTTTAGTTTTTTCCTCTACCTCCCTCTTGTCCTTCTTCTTTACTTCTTTCCTTCTTCCTTCTGAGATACATTACAGGGAAAAAAGGGAGACACAAGATTAGAAACACAAGTACCTAAAGCAAGGACTAAGAAAGGATTCACCATTCTTGGTAAGAGGTAAAGATGACCAAGAAAAAAAGAAAGTAGAGTCTGGCTCTGCATTTTTACCCTCCTGCGATTCATGAGCTTCATGCCTTCCCACTTCCTGGCGCTTGGAGCCGTTACGCTTGCTGTATGGAATTTTGTCTTGCAGGATGGGGCAACAGTGGGTGTGAAACTGACAACCCTTACAAAAGTTCCAATTTCCCCTTAAATAAAAAACAACTCGAAGTTTGCATTCTATGAACGATCCCTAGCTACGGGGAACACCACAACACTGACAGATGGTGACACTAAGGGAACGTAATAAAAATCAGCAGAATCCGATTGGTAATTGCATGGAAATCAGGTCTTCTTAAATCGCCTTTCAGAATGAACACTGCTCATTATGGTAGGTGCAAATAAACTTCAATAATGTCAACAGTGATTCAACAGCTCCAGTAACATTCTGGTAAAAGAATATTCCCTTTATTCCAAAGGATACAGAATGGACCTGACTTTGCCCCGATTTTGAGGGACACTAACCCTCTGAATCTCAGGCATCTTTAACAAACTGTGGAAGACCAGTGCTGTGCCATTCCAAATCCACATCCCCTGAACCAAGCAGTTCACTTACCGACTCCCAAAAACATCAACATCAGCTAATTCTGTCCCTCAAACCAACTGCCTACGTAGCTGCATACCCGAGTGAACGCAAGAAGCAACACACTGTAGTATTTAAGGATTGAAACTTACTTCCGAAGTTGGCCTTCGACCATCCATTTATCTCTCCTTAGGTTTGACATATAATCAATGTTTTTATCAATTTCGCTGTCAAAGATAAAATAAGCCGTTAACAGTGAACTCACATATCTATTTCTGACAGACATTTATGTGCAGACACTTTGTCTCAAAGAACCATCTCGGAGAAATGTTTCAAATTCAGAGCAAGTGGTTTTAAAGCCTGAATGCCAACACAGCACCCTGCCAGACCTACGTCCGGCAACCTCTCTTTACAGTATCGCACGAGCTGTCCACACGCAGCCCGTCATTCACAGAACCTGACATCTCCTTCCGTACTGGAAGGCAGTGTCAAGCCTCCAGATGTATTTGCCACAAAGCATCTGCACTGCAACAGGTTATCACAGCACATCTCTGGCATTCCAAGCAGCATCCATGTGCTCCACACACTACCGTTCCCCTCCCGCTCAGAAACTGGAGAACCGAAGAAGTGCTTTGGTACAGTGACCGCCAGTGAGCCCCTCTGGAGACATCCCAACCTCAGCAATTACCAGGTTGAGGTTGTTTCCATGACGAAAATACAGCAACTCACGTTCTGAATGATCATTTCTACGAGTCTGGTCTGACAACGGTGGTCACGTGCAGTAACACAGCTCGCTGCCATGATGGATTTGATTAACACGCACGAACTGTCTTGCACAGCACCCGCACGCCCCCTGCACTGCCCGCTTCCACGACTTTCTGCCGTGGAAAACAGGAAGCACCTCTCTCATTCCTGCCTTACATCACCCGGATTCGCTTCTGCAGCCCAGTATGTGAAAAGCAGCAGAATTCCCCAGGAAACAAACAGGCACTCAGCTGGGTGCTCCAGGGCTGCACCACAGCAGGGGAACACGCGCAGCTGTAGGCACCCCAAGACTGGCATGGCCCAAGCTCTTACTGCACAGCCTGGGGTTCTAAAGTGTTGTTTACCCCAAGGGTTTTTACATTATGACATGCCATGTCACAATTATGCTCTGACATGTCCTCATTTAAGCAACAAACAAAGAGCACACTTCCTCGAATTACTGCCACCTCAGGTGATGACCCCAGTTAAAGTATTTGGGCCAAAGAGGGCTGAAAAAAACCAAGGGAAAGCCGGGAACTACAGAATCCTTATAAAACTCTTCTAAAGTGTGCCCTAGAGTAGTTAGGGAACTTCTTCATAGTCAACCTCATCCCTTACTCCAAAAAGACCCGGAGAAATTTTGGGGCAAGCTTTGGAAAGCAACTTAGAGACCAAACATGGAAAAGTTCCTTTCCGTGACACCACACGTGCGTAAAGACGAGCAGCAGGAACACAGCAATGTTCAGCTGTCACTGTAAGAGCACCAAGAGTCCCCCTCTAGCAGCGGACTCACCGTCAACTGCATCGCTTTATACAGGGGTTCCAGACCTCTTTGGGAAACTCTTACCTTGCTACGCTTCTGCTGCACGCCAGCTCGTTGACAAGAAAAGCCAGTACCGACGCTTTCTGAGCTGGAGTATGGGCCTGGAAAGCTTTTGTCTTCAAGCTCTCCGTCAGCTCGGTCTGCCCACAGTGCGCCTCCATGAACATCTGCAGAATCTCGGACACGTTATCTCGATTGATACCAACGTTCAGTAAGTGCTCCCCAAGAATAGTTTTAGCCTGAAAAGAATAAAGGCATTTGGAGAAAATCACATCTAAAAATGGGGCTTTCCTCTGCAGGCTCCATTCTCATTTATGGAGCAGTCAGGTGGGTTCGTTTGCCTTTCAGCACAAGGACTTGGACCAGGGTTTTAATTTGTAAACCTTCAACAGAGGAAGAAATGAGAAGGTCTTCACCTGGAAGTTTTCAAGAGCAGAGATAATACTAATGAAATAGGCTAAATGAAAAAAGACAGGGTCCAACCAGAAGCTGAAGAAGAATGGTTTGGACAATCATGCCGTGGCGAGTCCTCCAGCACAGAGCTACGTTGCCTTGAAAGCGAAGAAAGAGAATCACAAATGAATCAGTTTTGGTGAGCTTTGGAGAGAGAATCGGCAAGATTCACTGGAGTGCAGCGTGAGTGTAAAACAGAAAGGGGAAAAACTGGAGGAGTTAGAAGACATGGGCAGAGATGGGAGACTGCCCTACAAGAGGCCAGACAAAACTGTGGAGGGTGGAGAAAATGCCCAGAAACGCATCCCTTCTGGAAAGCTGAGAGGGCACAGAATGTCTTCGAGTAACATTAGTACAGCAACACCAAAGGGGTAGGAACAAGGACGGAAACCCAGACGAGAGGTGTGGAAGATGCATGATGATCAGAGACTTTCATAAATACAGGGTGTTTGCTACTGGTTCTTTTTTCCTTTTTTTTTTTTTTTACCTTGCATCCTGTAACAAGTCCCGGATCACGAACAGCTGCAGACACGAGCTTCACAAGCAAGTCTTGCACTTCTCCCATGCTGTCCCCTAGGTTGAGCAAACCCTTCTGAAGAACGCTCAGGGAAGGGACATCCACGTTCATGTCGAAGCCAAGGACTTTACCGAAGTTGTGCAGGAACTGCACTACCATGAGACAATCTGAAAATGAGCTTCCATCGAGAACAAGGCCTGGAATGCGAGGCAACTCAGGCAGAGGCTGGAAGGCAAACAAGGAGAGGCTCAGCAGCACGTTTCAAAAGGAAACACTTTGATCTCAGCTGGGGAAATCGGCTGACACTTCCATGACCTACAGCATAACGATGTGAGAAGGGAAAGGGGACAGAAAAGCTCCTCCCCCTCCCGGCCCACCCCACCCCATCCCACCAGTTTACTGTGAAGCTGAAGCGCATTTACCTTTTCACATATTATAGGAGGCAAGTGGTTAATAAATACTTTTTGGCTGGAAGACACTCTCGGGCTCTATTCTGAGCCAAAATACTGTAGAAGACTGTGTAAAAATATTTGGAGGACATAAGGAGGGGAATTTTCTGGACCCTTGAACCTGAGGTATGTCAGGTCCTGCAGGACAACAACTAAGAACACTGGGACAGCAATTTTTTTTTAAGTATCAGCTTAGAATATTTGCCCATCTGAGCCAAGTTCGACCCAGTGCCAGTGTCCTGGGACACGGTGCACACTCCTGCTGCAGAAAGAGCTCGCAGCGGTCGATTATTTAAGCAACCACACAAGGGCTCTTTCGGAAGGAGGCCACCTTTACACAAAACGGCTTTAATTAGCTAAACATCTGCTGCTTTAGGGTCTGTAGTATCTTGTGGGTTTATGTATTTCAAACAGCTCTCTAATGATGCAGGTGAAAACGGGAAAGCTTCGGGAGCGGCTGCAAGAGAACAGTTACTGTCACCATGGCATGCTACAGCACCAAGAGGCATTAAGTTTCCACGCCTGTGATTACCTTCTGGTCTGCTAAGCACATATCTTCCTTGGGCTTCTTTAGCTCCTTGGCCATTTCCAATTCCAGTCTCCGCTGTTCCAGTTTACGCTCTTTATTCAACCTTTTTTCATCGCGTTTCTCTTGCTTTTTTTCCTTGAAGAGAGTTAAAAGGACAGAAACCCACGTATTACACTTACAATGGAACAATCAAAGCATCTGAAAAGCACCGCTTACGTAATGTCAATAATTACACCCAGCAATTAAGGAACCCGCGTTCAAGTAAAGGGAACTACAGAAATAGAGCAAAGCCAGCATGTGTGAGAAAAATCTAGGATTCACTCCTCTCCTCTCCTGCCCACATGGAAATGGGTGTTGAGTAGGTTTACGCTGAGTGTCTCTGGAACACCATTTCAGAAAGGTGACCGAGTGGAAACATGGTGAAGAACAAGACAGGTGATTTCAAAGGCCCCGCTCACACACAGGTGTCACCAACACGCATCTGCTAAGGCGAGACGGGTCGAAAGCAGCAGCTGGGAAGACTTCCCCAGACAACGCGTGGTTTAAATGCCCGCAGTGCACGAACTGGCTATGAACAGCGTATAAAGCAGCACCCTTCCAGCACACACAGCCCTGGGCCGTCAGTGCCATGCACTCAGCATGCGACTGGGAAACTGAACGGTCACCAGTGCCTTCTGTGCACCGGAACACAGGGATAATCAAGCATCTATTGGTCTCCTCCAACACCCTCCTCGCTGAGGTCCCACAGAACTGCATCCCTCTGACCTGCAGAGACTGGCCCTGAATTTGGAGCCCCGAGTGCCCTTCCCATTGCGGCATCCAGCGGTTCTCTGCAGTACCTGCCCAGCGCGGATGTGCCCACACAGTTCCTTACGGACCCCTGTGCCGCAGCACCGAATGCAAAACCACGTGTGGAGCCTACCCCGTGTTGATGACACATCTTCAGGTCACAGGGCCACGTGCACACACACAAACATGCATGTTGGGGTTTCGGTTAGCCCTAACCACCTGATACAGCCTAAGGTGGAGCCCCTGAAGCTCCCTGAGACAGACCCTTTCCCTCTCTAGGCACAAAAGGGCTGAAGAGCCTCGCTAAGCTGGTTCCTAGTATTCAGAACCATCTCCCGTTACTCTGTCAGCTGAGGTCACTCCAGCTGCCTCAGGTTTCTACCACATTCTGGCTGTACCTACGTCAGGACTCGGGCGCATCAGCAGCCTGGCACAAATGGCTCACGTCGCTGTACGGGCCTGTCAGGGCCACGGTTTTTTATTCCTTCTTTCACTCTACATCGAGCAATGCCAGACCGCTGCTGGCAACTGTGGTTAAACGCAATGACCACGCAGAGCAGCTGACAGTGACCTCTACTACTACAGCCTTCGGTGGGTTTTTGGCAAGACAGAGCTGGGAGCTGCACACAGAGAACGTGTTTGGAGCAGCAATCTGACAGTGGCAGAGGAAGAGCAGAGACATACAGAACTACCCAGCTGCCCAACAGCTGCGTGCACGTCCTCTGTACTGACCGCAGGCCGTCGTATCTCTGATGATTTCCTAAGGGCCATGCTGCTCATCCATGTTTTCCCCCCTTTGCCAGCACAGATGTTGTATGGAAAATCCCAATATACTACAGCAGCACACAAATCGGTAACACCTGGATTTCTAAGTGGTTCACTGCCACTTATCTTACCCTGAGTCAGGGTCCCAAAGCCAACTGGAACTCCCTCCAGCTTGTTTTTGGCAACTAGAAACATTCTATGTCAGAAAAACCCAAGGGAAGTACAGATGGATATTTAAGTGGCAACATGCTAACTTGCAGTTCTGATTAAAAATGCAAGTGCAACCATGCTAAGTTACACGGGTGTATTCAGAGACTACTTTTACGGGCTGCAATGAACGTTCACTATTCTGTTAAACACACCTTAGCAACAACTGAAAGCCACCAGTATTATCAGTGCCCAGCACAAATCCAAACCCCAGCCTCATACCGCTACTGTGAAGCAAGTTCACTCTGTCCCAGCTAAAACCCCTCTACCCTCAAGGAGTCGAGGCTCCCCCGGTCAGTACTGGCGGCAAACAACGCACGTTTAACTCTCGCATCCGCATCATTTATAAAAACATCCAAGAGCACTGGCCTCAGACTTGAGCCCTGAGCAACCCCAGTGTTCACAGGCTGCCAAGCCTGCTGTGACCCCATTTATTACAACCCATCACCCAACGTATTAAGTGTTGTCTCGCCGTACGCTGGACAGAATGAAACCGTGAGAACTTGGAACTTCCAGGGGTTAATACTCACCTCCGCTTTTTTACGTGCTTCAATGGCTTTCATAAGCATCATGTGTTGTCTTCTCCTTTCTCGTTCCTATTGAAGCAGGTAAGATTAGAACAAAACTAATCCACATTTCAAACCATCAAGAAAGCTGAGTAACGACTTTAGCATTAATAGACGAGTCACAGTAAATGCTAAATATAGGACAAGAATGGCCGAGTCTGTGCATGTTTTAGTTCAGGTTTAGAAAGCAAATACAAGAACAATCAAAAGCAAAAAGGTAAAGCAATGAACATGGAGACAGTGTAAAAAAAGAAGCATACAGATTTACTTATGGTCAGTTGTGATGCTCCTTCATAAGCCGGCAGAACAAAAAGCATAATGGTTGGCTGGAACAGGCCAGTTACCTTACATCTGCTATTGCGGAACTTGCAATTTACCTCTTCAAGAGCCAATTCAGCAGAAATTTTAAACTGGTCATATTCAAACACTGCAAATATTAACTTTTTTGAAACCAAGCAACAAATTACTATGATCTTCCTCAGCTCTAGGGCAGCTTTCATCGAGCCAGTGGTGGCGCATATACACACGCAGCAACACTTGCACATACTGATGCCTGTCCCTCAATAAAATACGTCACTAGCTGCACGTGCGTTAAGCAGCTGCATTCTAGAGCATTAAGTATGGGGGGGAGGTGTGTGTCTTAAAAGCTGCAGAGTAAATCTTGGTCCCAGTACAGGCTACAGGAATTTTATCACCTAATTCCGAGAGGCTAGGATTACACCTTCCAGTACTTCACTGTGTACTTGTAAGAGTATGTATTTCCCCCTGACTGGAAGCCGATTTCCTCAGCACCTTACAAACTTAGGAAAGACATCATCCTGGTTTCTAAAACAGGTTAATTCAGGTTGTATTTAAAATGTCTGGATTCATTCCCAGTGAACGGGACAATGCTTGCACAAATTATCCAAGTGACCACCTATTAATTTTGCATTAATTAATCCCTGGTTTTATACAGCAGTCCAATTTCTACTGGGACACCAGTAACAGGTTTCTGGTTAAAAGCCTCGTTTCTTTACTGCCCTGTGCAATTTGTACACGTTCGAGACGTGTCTCGTTTCCGTAACAGACAAGCCAAGCAGATGTATGCAATGCACTGTGCTGTAAAGCCATGCAGCAGTATGTAATATGACAGCAGCCAGTGCTACGTTTTATGCATTGCTATGACAACCATATCACAACCAAATCACAATGCGGTGTTAGATGTACAAAAATAAACATACCCATACCATATCTAGTCTATGCCTCTCCAACTCCTGGTAGAAAGAGTTGGCACAACATTATGAAACAGAAATCACAAAGTCATAAAACCACTTTATAATCCCCCAGAAGACCCCAATACCAAAGCAAAGCAACAAATCATAAGGTGAAAGAAAATTTGTGCAGGAACCAAACCCAGAAATTTTAAAAGGGCACATTTTGAAGATCTCCCCCCACACACACACAGGGCTTAAGTAGAAGCTCACAATGGGCATTCTCTCTGGTCAGCTGGATTCATACCCACCTGGTGCTTCAGCAGAATCGCTTGCTGCCTTCGCATCTCTCTCTCCTTAAACAGAAGAACCAAAATGCACTTAAGATGTCCATCAAAATTTACATACCAAGTTGCACATTTTTGCCACACTAAAAAAGCACATCTGAATTCACCTGTTACTTCCCTGCCCCCCGAACCGAGCACAGAGGAGTATATACCGCACATGTGCCAGCCACGCCGGCGAGTTCCATGGCAGAATACAACTAGAGTGCCAAAGCAGCAGCAGAAGCAACTATAAACGGCGCTTTCCAGCGTTCGTAAGAGCGTTCTGTGGTCTCGTACACACACGGCCTAGAACAGGCTGCGCCCGCGGAGAACAACGATGTTGTCCGATACCGCGTGCTTACAAGAACACTGAGAATAATGTCACTGCACGAGGGCTCGGAGTGACGCAAACTGAGCGTCCCGCGAGCAAAACTCATCGTGGTGGCCCATAAAACAATGACTCTCGCTCCACATTCATGTGTGTATGTAGGAAGGCGTGCACATGTGTGTTTGGCTATGGCACACAGACAAACCTCCCCGTGTGCTTCAACTGCTACATAGCAGATGCACACGCTGCTCACACGGTGTCTCAATTTACTGCTTCTGTACATCAACATGTATTATGCACAACAACACAGTTCTCGCTTTTGGAGCTCATCTAAACTAACCTTTAATCGTTTTTCGGCCTCCAATAATTTGGCATTTGCTGCTTCTTCCTTCTTTTTCTTTTTCGCCTGTGCATGCAAAACAGGTCACACAACAGCACCGTCACAACTTGACAATAATCTGACTAAAATCAAGTTACGTGCCTATAAAAGTTCAAAACATCATCACTTCTCATGTGCATTGCAACAGATTTCTTCCCAGTGCAGTTTTCAAAATCCATCAATTCCCAATTCATTTCCTGTTTAAAAATTAAGCCAGAATTCCAAGTCCCACCTCCAAGTGGTTCCCCTGGCCACTCTAACTGGAAAGCAAGGACTCAGAGAAACTACAGGGATTGCCATTAATTTCTCCATGAACAGAGACTGGGAAACTAGCAATTCTGTCCGTGCTACTCTACCAGTATATCAGTAGTAAACCAGTATAGTAAACCAGCATATTCCAGCACATACATAAACTCAGTATTAACTCCACTGCACTTTGTGATCAGCAGAGCGTGACACCGCTTCGGCACCCTATTACTGCAAACCTGTTGGCTAGCACAGGAACAGTTTCGCTGGCAACGTCAGCACAAACAAGACTATTTGTGGAGAAGGGGGGCACTCAGGTGAACATCTGCAAGATTTGGGTCACAGCTAATACACTGGGAAGGAAAATATTTTCAGACATGTTTCTGAACGGGCCTGTGGACGCCCAAGTTGCGGGAGCTGTTGTAATCAGTTACAACGTCACTGCACCTTGACTATCAAAATACAACGTTCCTTAAAATGGCAACAGAAAAACAGTATTTGAGCCATTATTTTTACCTCTAAAATTTGCTGAGCTCGAAGTTCTTTCTCCATTCTGATTTGCTGGATTCGTTTAATTTTTTCCTAGAAGGGGAAGAAATTTATTTTAAAAAAACCCACACACTGAGAAAGTAAATTTACTTGTAAATGAAAAAAAGAGCAAGTTTCTCCCTGTCCACTTTTTGTTACCCTGTCCCACACCCGCTGGAGTTAACTGTTCCACGTAACAACGTACGTCCTGGATTTCCACCAGCGTCGGACGCCTGGCGTACCCCTGCAGGCCCCTACAGCTGGGCCTGCCCAGGGGCTCGGGTGGCAGTTGGCACAGTTCGTTCTGTAAACGGCTTTAATGGGTCCCGAGTAACGACGGTGTGAGCAAGGCAGCAGCGTTCAAGTTCCAGCTGGCAATGGTGGGGCTATTTCGGAGTGAATGGAAATGGGAGCCGCGGCATGAAGACCGTGATGGGATCTCCCTGAATAAGAAAAATGGGGCTCTGGCAAACCACTATTTTCTGCCTGGACTCTATTTGCCTTTCTGTTCGTTATCTCAGGCAACACAGAGAATGCTCGGGCTCTGCTGCCAACGCTCTTGGGCTCCAGCTGTGTGTCAGTCCGCAGGTGGTAGGCAATAGTATCATTTCTTTTATTTTCTATGATGTTAATTACTTATTAGTAGCAGTATTGCTATATATTCATCTCTACATATAACATTCATATCGAATGACGTACATTCGTGGTATTTTATTGCTGGCCAGAATTATACCACAACAATACTCTGCTGAAAAATAACCAAAACCAAGCCCCTAGGAAGAGATAATCTACAATATTTAACAGAAAATGAGCAATCACAGAAGAGAAAGACATACAAATTCCCTGAAGAATAGAGCTCCAGTACCAGACCCCCTCAGGAGCTATAATAAAAAACTACAGTCAAGTCCTACCAGCTCCTGACACTGCTCAAAGTCATAAAACCATGTAATCCAGCCAATTATTCTGGGGCCCTGTTTATACAGCACTGAACTTCCCTTTTCAACATGCAGAGCTCCCACCATGAGCCTTAAATCTCTATCAATCCCCCAGCATCCTCGCTCATAAAACTGCACAGAAGTTGATGGTACGTGCTACACCTCGTAATTCCACAAGGGCCCAAGTCAACACACAACGAACTTCTCGGTACAGCTCAGGGTGAAGAACCGTCTCTGTAAGACACATCCTACACACTGGAATCACGAAAATTTTATCCATTTCTGCGTCACGAAGGAGTATGGCGATGGTGACCTAGGTTTGGATTTGGTGTATTCCCCACTTAAGCAACTCTTGCTCCCTGCACACCTAGGCATTTCAGGACTGCTGCCTAACCATCGGCAACGACCGGACACAGGCGCGATGGTCTACAGAACAGCTGGTGTCACTGGCCCATCTTCAGCAAGTGAGGGCTGCCTTCCGCCGTAGGAACTCTGAAGCTGTCACCATCTACACGAGTTCGGAATGGCGGAGGTGGGAAAGGGAGAGGGTGGGAGCACTGGGACAGGTTGCCCAGAGAAGCTGTGGATGCCCCATCCCTGGGAGTGTCCAAGGCCAGGCTGGATGAGGCTTGGAGCACCCTGGGCTATGGAAGGTGTCCCTGCCCGTGGCAGGGCGGGCGGGGGGGGGGGGGGGAACTAGATGATCTTTAAGGTCCCTTCCATCCCAAATCGTTCTGCAACCCTATAAAAAGCCTCACAAAATGTGTTGAGGAGATGTAACAAACTCAAAAAATAAACTAAGCCATCTTTAGGAGAAACACAACCGAACTCCCATACGAACAGAAACCAGCCTTGGGACTGGAGTGAGGAGGCTGCACCCCTGCAGAACCGTGTGCCCTGCAGCAGACTTCAGCTCTCTTTGGGACGAAAGGCACGAGGCTGCTCAGTCTGGAGTTAAGCTTCCCAAGAAGCTGATGCAGCAAACACAGTGGAAGTCAAACCTGGAATCCTCTATTCCCATGACTAACTGAAGTGTCACTTAGAGCTAAAAGTACGCAACATGACAAAGTAACGTACTGCCTGGTGCCAACAGTTACAGAATTCCATGGAAATTCCAGTGAAAGTTTCTATCACAAAGAAAAGATACTGGGTTTGTAGTAAATGTTCATGCTTTCCATCTCCATATAGCCCTTTAATGTAAATACTGTACTAAGAATATGAACACAGAGCACAGCAGTTGATTCAAGCTGTATTTAGACATTCTTGCTGAAAAATAACTACAAGTACTATGTGTATTATGCACACACACGAAGTCAAGAGTCGTCCAGGTTGCATTGGCCTATCCAAGTCACCTTTTCCTACGTTTAGCAGGTTCTATGCACTTACACTCTGCCACTCTAAGAGGGGAAAAACCTGAAGCAATAATGGTCCTGAACACAAAAACTGTCTTTTCACCGAGAGCCAAACCACTCGTCCTTTGCCTGCTACCAGGTCAAGTGTTTCATGTCTGAACTCTGCAGGAAGTTTCATACAAACAGAACAAATACAAAACCCAACCAGGCAAACAGAGTTTCGGATGCAAATTATTCACTTCTTCAAACTGTCAGATTCCCAACATACGTAACTTTTTGCTGATCTGTTACAATCGGCTGTTAAACCGACGACAAGCCTGCCTCGGGAAGCAGCGCCGTTTGGTAAGTCTGCGCAGGCTCCCGTTTGTTCCCAGGTTTTACTACAAGAGCGTTGATCAGTACCTGTCTTTGAAACCACGTACTGCTGCACCGGCCCGCTGAGCTACACCCCAAACCTGCCACCAGCCAGCCACAGCTGCTCCAGCCTCTACGGAACCAGACACAGCACTGTTGGGTCTCCCGGAACCACCTACGGCACGGCCGCAGGACTCTACTTCAGCGGCGAGTTCTCCTCCTTTCTTACTGACATTCCAGGCAGTTACGTATACCGGGTGGCTTAAATCTGCACAGACAGAATCGGCACGTCCCGACAACACGAACCACTACAGAGCTTCGAATTTCAAGTAATACATACTGCGTGCGCTTTACAACTACATTTACAACCTTCGCCTTCTGATCAGCATACTTCATAATTTACTAAATAATTAAAAAACCCTTCATTTAGTAATTCAAAACATATTTTTCAGAGCTTATTTAGCCATGCCAAAGTTTACCTGCTGCTTCATTATCTTTATCTGCTCCTTCTGCTTTCGCTTTTCTTCCGCTGCCATAATAGCTACCAAACAGAAGCAAACTGTTAGTGTCAGCAGAACATGCCAAGAGCCAGGTGACTCTTCATCCCGCTGCCCACACACCCAGACTCCCACAAGAAGCACTCACCTTGCTGTTTTTTCGCTTCTTTGGCAGCTCGAGCTTGCTCCTGCTTCTGGAGTTTCCGCAGTAGCTTTATCTGCGCGGCCTGCCTAGCTATCTCTGTTACGGAAAGAAAACCCGCAGCTCGTAAAAACGCTGGTGTCCAACAGCACAGACCCAGCCCGTTCCCAGACGGGCGGGAGGTGGAGAGAGGAAACAGTGGATTTGTTGCGCACACACTTATCGTGACAACATTTCACTGTCAACTCTCTACAGTGCCTTCTCAAGCGCGATGAACATGGACACTTTACGTGACAGAAAATACCATTGCTGGAGGGAAAGTGCCTAGCAAGTGACAGCGTGAGGCCAATAATGCCTCTTCATTTACAACGCCACTTCTTTCTTTTCAAAGTGGAAAACACCTTTCACAGAGGGCTAAATTTACACTGTATTCAGAAAGCATGGAACTAGTGTTTTCCTTACAGGTCACCTCATGTAATTACCTCACTCTTTTAAGAAGGCAGTGAGAGCCCACTCATCTGGGTCACACATCTCTGCGGCGGCTACCTACAGCCAGCCACTCTTACGCAAGTTAGAAACTTCCCGAGGCATTTTACTGCTTCAAGTGAGAATGTTTATGAAAGGTGGGTGAACGTGCATGAAGACAGGGACTTCCTGAGGGCTGAACTCAGCTCACTATTCAAAGGACTGAGGTCCAGGACCTCTTGGATACAGCATCCTCCAACATCCTGTCAGCTGCTTCTGCAATAACCAAGACACAGGGAAAATCCACGTACAGATAAAGATGATGCCGGGGATAGTGAGGGCAGTGTAAACACACGACAACAGGGAAGCCTTGAGCACCAAGGGCAAGCCCTACAGCAGGAGAAGTTACACCATACATAATCGCAACAGAACCAGTAGCTGGAAACAACAATTTACACCCAAACACACATAACTGCAGAAACTGGGCCAACAGACCAGCCCAGCTGTACTTCCATCCAACTAGTCTGTGCTGTACTCAGCAGAACATAATGGCTTCCAAATCAATCCAAGAAATCTAAAAGGAAGTTAGGGAAACTAGAATTCTTGGTACCAGACGATAATCCAGCCGCAGTGGACATGTCACGGACTCAGCAGGTTGCCAGGTACCAACACAACAGGAGCATCCGAGAGATGTGCAGGCACAAGGGCAGCGTTCTGCACAAAGCGCAGTATGCCGTCGCACAGCAGAGACCGTGAATGAGGAGACACCTTTGCAGCTCCTTCTTTGGTGGAACCCCAAAAGAAGCCGTACAAAAGCAGTCTTCAAGCACACATACTTCACGGGAGCAACCCACACGCACTTCCAAAAAATGAATTTGTCCAGGTAAACACTGAGCCACCTTTAAAAAAGGCAAAAGGTAATCCACACATGGCTCTTCAGAAAAGGAGAGACTGTCGTAGGAGCGCGGTGAGCGTGTAACCCATGAAGAGCTGGTTCGGTGAGAACAGGAAAGCCTACAACATGCCAAACCTGGAGTTAGAAAGGCTGAAAAAGAATGTGAATGGCACCTTGCAAAGGATGCCTGAGCAGAGGTAAAAGATCTTCACATACGTCACAAGAGGAAGCCAGAAATGCCATCAGTGGGACCTAACGATGAACAGGACAGAAGACAGAGCCTTGGGAAAAAAGGTCACTGAGTCTCCTGTGGCAGTCTCCACTGCTGAAGGTGGCAAGGAGACTCCCCTACTCAGTGCATCGACTACAGTGCACAGGTCAGAAGAGCTGGATGGATTTGGAAAAATGTAACAGAAGCGTTGGATCAAGAAGGTTAAGGCAGATGTTAACGGATGCCCAGGATGGGACACAGTAAGCGGAGAAATCTGCAGGCACCCTGACAGGAAACCAGAGACACCAGCCGGGGTGTTCACCGTATCACTAACAACAGCCCGCGTCACGGACCAGTGATGCTCATCCACAGAAAAGAGGGCTCTAGCAGAAGTCTTGGAAATTGCAGTTTGTCTCATTCTCCTCACCTGTTGAGGTGGCAGAGTCTTGCTGTCGGTACTGTGTCATACATACACCTACTGAGTCCCTGATAAAACACCATCAGCTCAATCGGCATGGCCTCTACTGCAGGCAATTCTGCCCCGTTTCGGGTCTCAATGCGAGTGTCAGTAACTGGGAGATTCTCCTAATCTAATGGGCATATTTGGCATTTCAGAAAGTATTTTACCAGTTCTAAGTCAAACACTATTAATAAACCAAGCTGTCATGTCACTGAAGGGTAACGTCACTGACAGCTCTCTACGTGAGAGCAGGCAAAGGGCAGAGACCCACCACCCTCCCTGATGCAGCAGAGGGTTTCTTCACAAATCAGTATTAGAACCAGCTTCATTTAGTATCTTTTTTCTCAGTGAAACCTGTAAAGGGGACTAACAAGGTTAAACCCCAAAATGTGAAGACAGTATTAAGCATTCTGGAAAATCCAAGGCTGTGCTAACTGCAAGGAGCTCTGGAAGAGCCCTGCAAAACACTGGGCAAAGGTACCAGAGGAGCTTCATCCTAGAGAAACGTGAGGTAGTAAACCTGGAAAAGAAACACAAAGTACAGGAGTGTGAAGAGGATCAAAGGGACAGAACAACCACCTTCTGGGAAAAGACTAGAAGCGCTTGGGCTCTTCAGTCTGGAGAGGAGCTGAAGGACAGAGGGGATCAAGGCTTGCAAAATCACCAAGGAGGTGGATAACAAACTGGAGAACTGTTATTCCCCACAATAACAGAACTAGGGCACACCCAGTGACAGAAGATCATTTCTTATAAAGGGAAATGGCCTGGTGGTTAGCAGACGTGTGTGGAACCTGTGGCCATGGGAGGCTGGTAGAGCAAAGACTGTTAGGAGGTTGAAAAAGCAAAGGTCAGGATAATTCATGGGCAGCAGTGCCATTACCAGAATAGACCACGTTAAAATGTGCTCTACAACATCACTCATAAAACCCTCAGGATGCCATGGTGCGAGGGTGAGAAAGTCAGCGTCCCGAGAAGAGAGCAGGTTCACGCAGGCTCCCCATGCGGCACCTCCTGTGGCACTACTGGAGACACGGCTCTGTGCTAGGGGGGCCTGGGCTGAGCCACCGAGACATTTCTAACGCTCCCATCAGGGGAAAAAGCAGCACGGTCAGCCTGAGCAGGTGTAACGTCAAATGTTACACATGCACTGCGAATCTCCTCCTGTACGCAGGCCAGGTGGCTTTGTTCTTTTCATCAAATGCTGAAGTCTTTGGTGGAACAGTAAAACGTGGGAGAGCGCTCCTAAATACTCCCCCACTCACCCCTTGTAGTGACCAAGGTAGGAACAGAGAAGATAAAAAGTGAAGCAAAATGGCTTATTGTCAAGGGCTGATCTTTTTCCACCAAGACAAGACTTGTGGAATAAGCTACTGTGGCTCACCAATAAATACACAGCAAATGCTACGGTGCTTCAACAGACACTAGTTTCCTAATTCTCAGACTGAAAGGAAGGTGGTGGCGACCTTAACACAGAGGTAGCAGAGCTGAGCAATGCTACAAGACACCCCATGTACTCCGTGGTGGCTAAACCTGCCTTCTCCCTGTCCATGTGCCCAAAGCGTTATCCCTGCATGCCTTAAATACATCCGTACAGACAGCACTCCGAGGGCAACATGGGGACAGGACGCACAGAATCCCACCAAGGCAGATAGGAACATAGTGTTAACGGGGAACCCAAACATGCCCACAGCCAGCACGTGAAAGAACAGCCAAGTCTGGAGCTGAAACAAACACTCTGACTCCTGGGCTGGAAGAAGTTTTCGTCTCAAACCGGATGCATGCAGAAAACATGACACAGTAACGGACTAAAGAACTGAAATTCAAAAGGCAGGTACTTGATGTGCATCTAAAACCAGGCCCTCACGCTTCGGATACACACTACCATGGAAGTTCTACTCCCTGCGCTGTCACTACTTATATCAGGATTCTAGTCAACCTTATGGGCAACTTGCAGGGGATTCCCAAGAAAAGTATTTTCCCTGGAACAGCCACAAGCCTCCCCAAAATGCTACCCTCAGTGGTTTTTAATTTCTAGGTCCACAGTTGTTTGAGCTGACAAAGGTCTATTAATTTTCGCAAAAAAAGTACATCAGCAGTAACAAGGTTATTTGCTGCCCGCTTTTTCGAACTCCATAAATCTAAGTGAAGGAACTCTAGCGCAACCCCTCGGACATGCATTTACACACTGGCGTCCTCCTCTGAACCACACACACATTTACCGACCTTGAAAAAGAAACAGGCTTCACTAAAAGCACGTACCAGATTTCCAAAATGAGACGCGGTATACCGATATCCTAGCGACACATCACCCCTCTTAACTCTCTGTACAGCAACACCCCCTCTCCCGAGGGCAGTAACACGCCTCTTACCTTGAGCCTGGAGCTTTCTTAAAAGCTTCGCGTCGGTGTTGTCCAGAGATTCAGTGCCACCAACATTCGGAGGTCGGCCTTTGCGTCGCCTCGCTCTTGACTCCTCCCTAGACTGCTGTCTGTCTGGATTAGGAGGTCGTCCTCTGCGCCCTTGCATTGCTCTGATCCGGGGAATGACTTCCTCTTCCTTCAGCAGACACCACTGCACCTCCTTGCGATCGACACATTTCACAGAAGGGTATTATGAACACAGATTTAAAGAAGGAAAAATACATCTAAGACACTGAGAACATGAACAGCAGGAGGAGAGTTTATTTCCTTTTTGTCCAAGTAAGTTGTATATACAACACGCAAGAGCCATGATGTACTACTGGGTTGTACAATGTTGTGGTGATGCACAGAAACTCTGTGCTGAGAACTTACCACTACAACCTCTGGCAAACCGTATGGCTACACAAGACTTCGCAGCCTGCTCAGTGACAGTTACTACCTGGCCACGGCTGCGTTACCTGTAATTCCTTCTGAGCAACTCGCTTATTGCTCAACCCTTTTAAAAGGCAAAATGGATTCTTTCTTACTAGGGAAAATCAAAAGTAACTACTCTGCTTTCAGACAAGCTACTGCTCAACGTGAAGGAGAAAAACGTGTCGAGCTACGAGCCGCTGCATTCCAACTGCCTGTGCCCACAGAACTGCTGCTACGCTTCACCAGAGCCAGCAGTGCATCTCCAGATGCTGCTCCCTGGGGTGCTGTACATCTCCACAGCGAGCTGGACAAACACAGGCTCATTTTACTCTTCAGTTTTGTTTAGTACAATTTAGTTCGCTCACCCACTGCAGAAAAATCAGTTTCTGTGTCAAAGTGTAAATTTAAGAACCCGTCTGCCTGAGCTGAAAGTTCTGTTAACTACATTCTCCAGCCAAACCTAACATGAAGCAATACATTCAACCCTCCAACTATTATGGCTGGGTTTCTGAGGGAACACAAACCCCAGCACTGCAACACTGTTCACAGGGATACCCGAGTTAACCCTCATGCAGAAACAGCCTCACTCCAAGCGCTGAAGGTAGCGCTGATTGTGTTCACTGGGCAGAACAGGAGCAGAGGCTGATCTCGCTGGCCTGGGTGAGTATTTCAAAATTGGAACAAGTTTCTGAAAAATGGGGGGGAAGGATGCTAAGTATTCTTTGTGCCTATCCATAATTTGCCTTAAAAAGGTTTACAAAAGATTTTGAAGATGTCTGCTAAAGCAAGAATGGAGGTTGGTAACTTAGAACACACATTAGGATCTGTTCAGCAAAACATACATTTGCATTTCCAAAGTTGACATGTTTTTATGTACATACATACTGAAATCCAATTTACTGTACCTTAAAATACATTTCCATTCGCTTATTCTGACCATTTCACTCAATAATTTCTGCTCATTCTTCATAATCACAAATGATTTGACAAAAGAAACGGCCTTTTGCTGGTTACACATTCAGATTCCAAGAAAGCGAGCAGATGCCATTCTGAAGTCTGAACCATTTCCGGCTAAGACCATCCCAGGAACACATCTCACACTTGGTGCACAGCCATTCTCAAGGGCTTTACTAGCTACGTTCCCAAAACCGAGCTGTTGGGGATCATGACCATATCACTGTGTGCACAAGGCAGCATCACAAAGGACTTGTGCATCCAAAGGCTACCCCCACCACTCTGGCAGAAGCCAACTTGTTCGCTGCCTTGCAGAGTACTATTAGGCACAGAGTTCCATTCCCCTGCCCAGTGCCTGGTGCTGAACCCACTGCACAGGACCGGTTTGCTGGGCAATGTCCACCAGATTCAATACTGCACTTGTCACACACACCCACCCCCAGCCTAGGAAACCTGATCCCACAAACCACGAGTGCCAGAGGGATTAAAAATAAAAAAAAGGGCAAAACAGAATTCAAAGAAAAGGATAAGCAGCCAGAGTTCAAGCAGCACCCGGAACTTTCCGTGGAAGCCGCTCCTGCCTTGTATTTTCCACTGTTCATGATAACAAATATGCAGAAAGGCAAGAGAAGACGTCCGAGATCATCAGTGCCACAGAGCCTAGGGATGTACATCATGTTTCCCTAATGCCTCCAAAAGAGAATCCAGAGGCCACCAAGACAAGCTGGCAGCAGGTTCAGTTAGCAAGAGGAGCTGGCGTTTCCAGGAACGGGGAGAAGACAGTTTAATGTTCTGCCAAAGGACAGAGTGGATAAAACAAGTTTCCACAAGTTTAAGAGAGTACAAGACAAAAATAGTCCAGAGAAAATCCATTCAGGATTCCAAAAATCCAAGCAGGAGTTAATTGACCACCTCTATGTTTTGCTCCAGTATCTTTTACAGTGTGACCCAAAACATCATTCTATTAAAGGAAGGTACAACCTGATATTCTCTGGATTGTCAATATTCCAAAGAAAAAATATGGGGGTTGTGCCCCAACACAGGACAATCATGGGCTTCCATAAAATCTAAGTTTCACTATACAAACGTCAGAGAGAGAGCGTGAATAACACTGCGAAATGCCGGGGTTTATTGTAGAAATTAATCCAAATAAGAACTTAATCGGTCTCCCTCCTTCAGGCATCTCCCTCACGACAACCCTGCTGTGAGCTCAGAGCCCGCTAACCAAATGAACAGAACCATCGGCCTTTGCCAACGGCAGACACCCTCAGCTTCAGATTCGTGAGAAAGTGAACAACAAAGCTTTCTGAGCGGAACTGCAGGATTCATGGGAGGGCAAACACTTCAAATTCTGGTTCCCAGAAAGGGAGGCATATAACTGCCATGGCATTATCACCGTGTACGACAGCCGGGTGCCGAGCCGTCGGAGCCAAGCCCTTCTCAGAGGTGCCCGGGGACAGGACGAGAGGCAGCGGGCATGGACTGGAAGACGGGAGGTTCCCCCTGAACAGCAGGAAAAGCTCTGTCACCGTTACGGCACTGAGAACTGGAAAAGGTCACCCAGGGAGGTTGTGGAGTCACCCTGCTTGGAAGCATTCAGGAGCTGGTAGCCCTTCTTGAGCAGGGGGGTTGGACAAGTGACGTCCCACGGTCCTCTCCAACCTCAACCATGGTGACGGATACACTCACTGTAAGACAGTCCCTCAAGCCCGCAAGGTGCGGTGCCAGGGCACAGCTCAGTATCCCTCCATAACACTTTTCCACCTACTACTCAACGCAGTGTTCCTCTCCACATTATTCCATCTCCTAAGGACCGTGCCCCCTCCATCACCCCGAATCATGTTCGCACTAACCTCTCCAATCCACAGCAGTGTAAAGCCTCCATGTCCTGTCACTATATTTCCGTGTGTGCCAAACTTCCAACGCTCCTCTCACCCTGCTATTTCGTGGCCCACTTCTGCCTGATGTGCTTTGAGCACATCTGGAACAGCTGCCCGCGGCGGCCCCACCCCCTGCTTTCTGAACCAGAAACCTTTCCTTGGTCTAACCAAGTCCCAGTGGAACCTACCACGAACGTCACAAGGAGAAACTACCGAGAGGTGCTCAGCAAGTTCCCACCCGTATCGCCAGCTATGCCTACGGAACCTGCCCTTTCCCGTGCCGGCACTCCGAGGTTCGACAGCGTCACAGAAGGGCAGAACCTGAAAGTCATCTCATGGAGTAAAGGGAGAAGAACGAGATAAGGAGAGAAGGGGACAAGACTAATGAGGGAACACGGGCAGCAGACAGAATGGTCACAGGGTAACAGACAGCAGATGCCCTGACACGACGCCGCGCTCACCATATGAAGAATTATTTCCACCTTGCTGTTCAGGTGCATAATGAAGCTCTGCACCAACAGGTTGTTGTTTTATGAACACCAAACATGAGGGAACAGCAGCTGGGAACCAGAAGCACCACCTCAAGGCAGCTGCTTACTATGAACTCAGATTTACTGGTTCCAGTCCTGCATTATGGAACCGTCCCGTATTTCTATAGCGTACCACAAGGACACCTGGCTTAGCTACAGCCCCAGTTTGAGACTGTCGAGAGCACGCCTGCCCACATTCCTGCGGCAGCGTATTCAGGACGCCCCTCTTTCAGAGCAGCAGATATGCTCACTGACAAAAGTCCAAAAACTTTGAAGCACATCCTGAAGAAATACAGTAACAGAGTACGGCACAAACAGAGCAGTAATTTCCTTCAAATTCTGACTTTATCCTTGTGAGGTTTATCCACACAAAGTCCAACAGCTCTAACACCCTAAAGCACAACTGCTATTCCTCAGCATTCCTTCCCGTCAACATCTCGCGCTTCAAGAGACCAGATGGCATTCCCGATACAGGGAACACATTTAAATACACACATTATGCACGTGAATACATGAAAAGAGCATGATTCAACACATACACACACATTCTGTCAGGAACAGGTTTATACAGTAAAGGAAGAAATAGTGTTTTAGGCAGAAATATCTGAACACTGACTACGGTGTTACTACGGTAACACATGTAGCTCTGAGCTCTTTTGTACCAGGCAGATCCATGCTCCGAGCCGATCGTAAGGCATGCCAACTCCCACAACCTCGTAGCAAAGGATCTGAGGGCAGCGGTTTTCGGCACTGCCCAGGATCTCATCAGAACTACTAAGAAGATATACGCACAATTTTTAGAAAGAATTAGCTAAAAACAGGCAATGCTTCAGACTGTAGCAAAAATTAGTTCACCTAAATTTAAGTTAATGTTCCTTGGATCAAAGACTTTACTTTTTAAAAAGCGGATACCTGCGGTCCATCTCTGGCTTCATAGAAGTCACCCACTCCTATTTTTGCACTGAAGCTGAAATTGTCCCTTGAGATATCCATTATTCCATTTCTGCTGAGATACTGAAAAAATCACATATTTTTCCACTTCAGCTTGTCAGTAGTTACAAGCCGGCTGTGATGTACAGCTGGCTCGGGGAGTGCAACGCTCTGCACATTCGATCAGAGGGACAGGCACTCATCACACAGCATTGGGCACAGCACTAACACTGAGATACACTGCATCTCGCACCACAGGACATTTTGAAATATTGGAGGGGAAAAAATAAGGCGTTTCTTAATTGCGAGCATGCTCAGTAGCATTAGAACTCAGAAGTTTAAGAAAGGAATGTACCTTTACAACATCAGGGTACTGCCGCAGCTTCTTCCCACAAGGTGCAAAATAGGCTACTTCTCCCTGAAACCGACCATCGACGTTTCTTATTCGGGTTTCTCTTCGCCAGCTACAGTAACATGAGACAGAAGCACACAAGACGACTTTTTAAACCGACATCAATTACCTTTTTTTAAGATTTTTACATAAGAGGAAAAAGGCACGTGTCTAAAACACGACAAGAGTGTCACAAATTCAGTGCAATGGCACAAGTTGTTACTCTGCAGATTGTTCAGACTCTACGTATGGATTTATCTGTATCACACTACTTATATGTTACCAGACTTTAAATGGCTGAGACCTGTATTTCGGGGAGTTATCTGGAGTCTACACTGGCTCAGATCTAACCATCAGGATTAATCTCCAGCAGCAAACCCACTAAGAGACAAGGTCAGGCTTGCAGAAAAGCATGTGTGATGCACAAAAACTACCGCACAGGAGATGCTGACGCCTCAAAAGGGATCCCCTTTCCCTGGGAGCTGGAAATGTCCAGTGCCCAAGCCCTTTCCTTATTACTCACTCTCCACAAATTTTAAACTATCGTTTCTTTACCAACTGACTTCTGAAGGTTTCATCCCCCTGTGAGGTATCCCAAGTACACACACAGAGGCACAACCTACCCGTACTCGAGAGGAACACGCAGCTCCCGTTCATCTGGCACTCGTCGTCTTTTTGAAAGACCTAAACCAGAATTTGTGATTAACATCTACAAGAATTTACAAACTGAAAACATGCTCCTAAAAATATACTTCTTATCCCCATATCCCAAACGAAAAGACCAATCGTTTTTACATTCTAGTCATTACACACCTCAAGTACAAAGAAAATTAATTTAACTGCTCTGCTTCTGAAATGCATTTTCCTCTGAGTTTCCCTGAAGCTCCTCTTCTAACACTGTCAGAGGGGAACCTCACCCTGCTGCACAGCTTGCCACCTTCGGTGCTCTCGGGTATCGCCAGAATAATTCCCTGCCCACCTGTTTTCCTATACCAGACTATTTCATTGGTTTCAGTACAGAATGTGAAAATGAAAACACTCCTGACTTTAAAAACCGCTACCAGCCTTCTCAAAGCATCATAAATCAACAGAGATTCCTGAGCAAAAGAAATTAACTTTGTATTTTAACAATTTGGATGACTCCTAACGCACAGGAAATCTTTTACAGGCGGTGCCATTACCGGGCCTCCTTCTGGGAAAAATAGGAAGTAGATCACACCACACTGCTTCAGAGTTAATGTCCTCGATGACACGGGAGGAAATTCCTATTCCACTGAATCCACATATAAGAACCAATCTATGAGCAGATGTCCCCATTTGAAATCTACTTACTTGTATGCTAATTAAACATCAAGTTTCTAATTCAAAGTCATAAATATGCAATTTCTTTTCATTGTTACCATGCAAATTGAGAAGTGACTTTCAAAAATGCATTCTCCTCTGCAGCAGCAGGAATACATGTAGTAGATGTACTACATGAATGAGTCACTGTGCTGGTTTTAGTCAGGACAGAGTTAAATCTTCTTCACAGACTTTAACATCTGTTGCAAACACCCATGAAAAGATCACAGAATAGCCCAGGTCAGAAGGGACACCAAAAGATCATCTGCTCCAACCTCTCGTGCGAAAGGAGCCTAGGTGAGATTATTGAGCACCCTGGCCAACCACATCTTGAAAATGGCTGTGACAGCGACTCTACCACACCCCTGGGGATGCTGTTCCAGTATGACTGAAAAGTCTTTCTTATGTCGAGATACCACTTGGCACCTGTGTCTAAACTACTTCTGTAACTAGTTCTACACCACAGGCAGGTGTTCCATCGTACTAGACGTGCACTGTGCTACAGGTGTTCTATGGCACTATAACAGAGACATTGAGATATCACAGTGTGTACTTGGTGTAAGAGCAGACGGTGCTGTCCCAAGGAAAACTGCAGGCTGGGACTCAGGACATAAGGCAGCTGGCGCAGAGCTTGGGGTCTTTGCTACTTGGAGACTGAGTGGGGTGGAATGAGCCGCAACACCAATGGAAGAGCTCTTCATAGAGGGTGAAGTTTTACGCCGTTTCGGTGGAGATTTTTCTCCCTCAGTGTCTGTATCCGATTCATCCTGATCTTTATCATCCTCATCATCTTCATCCTCAGATCCTTCTGTATCTGATTCAGAATTACTGTCAGACTCTGTTTAAAAAAGCGTGGCAAAAGGCACATTATGACTTGGTAACTAATGGCAAATCCATTTCAGTTTTAATCCTTGCAAAGTATTTGTCTTATTAAGTAAGAAGCAACTCTGACTTCATTTTTTTAATAACATCTTGAGTGTAAACAGAAGGTCCTAATTAACTACCTAAACTTTACAATGACTGCAAATACAACAGAATAAAGTAATTCTACATCACAACGCATGGTTGTTTCAGCTGGAATTCTGTGTTACTCCGTGAGGAGAAGACAGAAGTTGCAGTATTTTAAGAGACCAGTTACCCTAGAATGAGCTACAGCTGAGACATCCCAGTCAGCCTGGCAGTGGTTGAACACTGCCACAGGAAGGGCACTCCAAGGATTCCAAAACCTGGCATGAAGAGGAAGCAAACAATGACACTGGGTACAAGCTGAATGGTGTCAGACGTGTGGCACTGGGCAAAGGAAGAGGGCGGACAGGGAGACGAACACAAGACGGGCTACAGCTGTGAGGGATAAGGAGGATTAGCGTAGGGTGTGCATGGAAAGAGAATGATGAAGGTGGAGCTGGACCCAAGGAATATCAGCACACAGAAGAGAAAGAAGTGACTGAGAATACAATCAACGCTAAAACAAGCCCTGCCCCTCTGAATTTGATTAAGAGCCTCTAAAATAGTAGCCTGAATGCTGTCTATGAACCCTGCAGCCCTTACCACTGGCCTGGTACTCTTCTCTAACCTTGCTCACTGACTGTTCTGAATGAGGCCTAGAAACCTGATTTTCCTGTCCTTCCTGCCAATCTCAGGCCGGTTTGGTCCCCCTCTGGCTAGGGAAGGCTGTTCTGCAGATGGGTTCTGCCTGCCAGAATAATGAGCCATCAACCAGCCTACTCTCCCCACCCCCCTGCAAGCAGTACATGAGCTGTAGGCAGGGTTCCAATAGCCTCCCCAGAAGTCTCTGGAGCCACCTTACCTGGAGAGCTGAAAGCATATAACCAACTACCAGAACACCCGAAACACGATTTTGGATCTGACACAATGGGGGACTGGGAGACATGCTACTAGGATACTGTGTGGGCTGTGCTAACCCAAAATTTCCTACCCTTATTTCAAGGTATGGTAGGAAATGCATGTTTTCAATACTCTAAAAAGGTTAAACCACCTGATTGGCTATCATCAGAATCATCATCTTCATCGTCCTCATCTTCATCTTCGTCATCGTCATCTTCATCATTTGAGTCATCAGAGTCCTTACTGCTGGGGGCATCTGAGTCTACCCCTCTGAACTGCTCCACCACCAGCTTTGCAGAATGAAGGCGGTGTTGTGGTTTTACTGCATTTACTGCATTATTGCTGACTGGTTTATCCTTTCCTGAACCAGGTAACACAGGAGAGGTAGAGGGCACAACAGGGGTCCGGTTACCACTTGGTTTTTTCCCACACGCGCTCAAGTTTACAGGCAGAGAAAGGGGGGCACTACTAGAAATGGCTACGCTTTCATTGATCTTGGCCTGGGCTTTCAGCTTCGTAGTAAGTGCAAGAGGAGCCTCCTGGATGACGCTCTGAATAACTCCATTGGGTTGGTGATTACCTAAAAGTGCATTGGTCAGGAATGGATTAGAATGGTTGTTTTCCAAGGGTGTGAGTTTGTGATGAGCTGGTGAACTAGATGTTGGTTTGGGGCTTGACAACGCTGCAATATCCTTCTTCAGGTTCTTAGATGGTTCCTGTTTCTTTAGCTGTGCTGCTGGGAATGTCTGTTTGTATTGTTCCTAAGGAAATAAGAAGGCAGAGATTTAAAATATGGAATTTTTTTTAATTATTATTATTCAGGCAGGTGAACTCTACAGAATCAACCATCTGCTAAGCTATTTTAGTCAAAAATAGGTGCTAGGAACAACAGAAGAAATGGGTAACTACGAGTTATATGAGTCCCTTGTGATTTTCACTGTAAATAGAGTAGGAAAAGACAAATTGGACTCAAGATGAAGCTGATCTGGACTATGCAGGGAAGGGATCTGCCCCCCAGCAGCAGGGGCAGGTAAGCATTAAAGCCCCCCCAGCCCCACACCCCTGCCATGGGCAGTGATAGTCCAGGTTGCTCCAAGCCTCATCCAGCCTGGCCTTGGACACTTTCACACAGTTATTATGCTTCCTGAAAAAAGGAATTTTTAAAACAAGAATACTTGAGGTACTGGCATAGGAAGAAACTCACTTTTTACTCATTTCAGCATGTAAAATCTCATCAGTGAATGTAAAAGCAGCTTCAGGCACTAGTTCATTTTAGATAAATACAACACACTAATGGCTACAATACCAGCAGAAACCCAGGAGAAGGCTCTTGGCATAGAAAAACTTTGACAGAAAAAGAAAAAGGCAGGGTGGGAAGGTATCCCTCAGAAGCACTAGGATATGCCAGCTCCTTAACCTGAAAAAGTACGACTTGAGAGTTGGCCAGGTACCAATCTGCAGGGGCTCAGGCACACATGTAAAGCTTGCGCCATCTTTAGTCTCAAGACTCTTTGATGGGAAAAGAAAACACACTATTTTTGATGAAAAAGAATAGTCGAATGGATAAACAGTACTTTTTAAAATCCATTTTTAAAGGTTAAGTCAAACCCAATATATTCTTTCAGTTACTAACACTTAGAACTTCATACGCAAGGTCTGAAACCCATGAAATCAATATTCGCACAGTGCACATTTCCAGTGACAGTTTGAAAGGAATCAAGCCCCTGAAGGGGCGACGCATTATCAGCCAAAGACTCGGAACCTCAATTTGACAGAAGCCTCTTCCAATGGCAAAGACAGGTTTTCATCTCTGTAACTCACTTAACCATTTCAGATAAACTAGCTTATTTCAATTTTACAAAGGAACTGGGAATTGAAAGTCAAGGCAGTGTTTCTCTTCTGGTCTAGGAACAAAAGCGAGGTAATAAACCCCTTTTCAGCCCTCCCCAAGGCCCGTGAGTTAGCTGGGCATCGGCACTCAGTCTCCTCTTCACCAAGACTACCGAGTGAAAGCAAAGGCGGGTTTTTGTAAGCACACCTGTACGTAAGCAACACTCCCCGACGCTGCACCTGTTCTCCTCCAATCCCTACTCGCATCTAACTCAAGTTAGAAAAAGTCACCACTAGTCCCCATAATCACTGTGAACAAGACAAATAACAGGATCTCCAAGGAATTTTTGGAACTACAGAACCATTAAGACAGACCCATGCTGCTGCGTCCTGACCAGGACGACGGACGGTCGAACTGACTGCCACAGCCATACTGACTCTTCATGGAAACCAGCACAGTAATACCCTTCTGTCTTTAAAGAGCAAACAAAACCCCCGTTTAAACCAAACAGGTTTTTAATCAAGGCATTCAGCTGCTTTGTTTGAAATCATCATTAAATTAATTAGTTTTAGTTACTTTGACTTAAAACTATCCAACTTGAAAGCAAGCAAAGCCATGCTTACCCCCTAGCTATGGAAGGTATTCAGTGAGTCTTCCCACCCAGACTAGGAGAAGCACCCCAGCCACACAACTTACCCACAGTTTGGGTAAAGTCCCTGGTTTGCTCGTGCCCTACTCTCACAGTACGCTGATTCCTTTCAACGCATCTGTGGAGTTCCACTAAGTGATGAGCATGGAACTCAAGTCTGGCCTTACGGGACAGTAAGCCGTGCTACGATGACATCGCGTATGCACTAGGGTATGCACATGCACCACAAGTAGATGACGTTTCTCCAAGATAAAGTTATGGAGTGGTTCAGGGCACCTGTAGTCAATCATCTCTAAAATTAAAGCACAATATTTGCTGTTCTTTTTTAAAACAAAGCAAAATAAAGAACCCCAAACCTGCTACACCCAAACACCACAGCTCAGAGCATACATCACCTACCCAATTCACACCTCTCAGAAATCTGTACCAACTCTAAAAACACACCAAAAACCCTGAGAAGAAAATACAATTTTAAAACATTCTGTTTAGAAGATCGTGACAGCCTAACCTTGTTAAGGGGGCAGCGCAGGTAACAGATAACCCCAACACCCCCGATCTGTCACTCACCCGTTTTGATCTTCCATCGCTGGTCAAAGTGAGAGATTCTTCAGAGGTATTTTTATTCCCTGCTTTGAGTAGATCAGGGGAAGGAACTACGAGTTTTAAATAGGTTTCCTTTTTGGCTTGATGTACCAAAGACACAGGTTTCACATTGGGAACCAACCCCGTCGACTGTATTACGCTTGTGTGTTTGTTCACAGATTCCTCCTTTGCCTGAGAGCTTTGGAAAATAAACGGAAGCTGCTGTGACAAAACCTGAGGCTGCTTCTGCTGGGACTGGAATGATGAGTGAGTCTGTGGATCAGACACAAGAGGTATCTGCTGGTGTGTTCTTGTTTCTTGGGACTTTTCATGGGGGTTTTGTCCATCAGTTTTCGTATCAGTTGCACCACTATGCATTAGCACCTGCCAAATACACATTTTTGACTGGTCATATTAGATCAGTTGAAGATCCTTTAAAAAAAAAAAATACAGCACCAGTCCTCAGGGAACAAACTATTACACCCTTCTTGGCAGAGGATGAAAAACAATAATTTTAAAATCCACCTTGTTCTATATTTATTGTTTAGGCATTTTGCTCCCCAGGCAGTTTCAGCATGTGAAGACACCGCTTAGCAGAGGAGTACTAAACCGTGGCTCTTTTTAAATGTATTTTTGACTGTAAACCTATTGGGATATCCAAGATTCCCATTTTGTTCTCCTATTGGCTAAGAGGGAAAGTAACCACTCTACCAGGAAAAAAGCAACTTGCAAAGCAATATGCATAGAAAGATCCATTTCTAATACACTCTCAGCACACAGCACTTAATTCCTTTGTATTTCCCGTTTTATGACGAAAGAAATAGTCTAACAACTGTTAAAACCCTGGCCCGTAAGGAACAAACCACACACAGCCACACATATAAACGAAGCAAAAAAATCCCATAAAGCCCTGAAGCAAACCGCCAAAGAGCGTTCTTAGTGTTCGCCATGTGCGGTTAAACAACTGCTCACTGGTACCAACGCAGCACAAACAGCTTTCAGCGGCAACACTGCGAGCAGCAGCGCGGGATGTCATACCTTGTTCTTGTTTTTGTGATGCGTTTCGGTTTCAGAATCAGATTCGTCATCTTCGCTCTCCTCAGCACTCTGGTCCTCCTCCTCCTCCTCTTCATCCTCCTCCAGATCATCAGAGTCACTGCTGCTAATGCCTTCACTGGAGGTGTCTGAGGAGGATCCCGAATCACTGTCACTGTTACTAGAGCTTTCCACTGCTTTTCTTCTGGGCTTCTACAAGAAAAATGAATGTTCCATTAACGGTTCTGCTTTAATCTGTTAAATCACCTTCTTATTACACGTAGTCTTTAAAACAGGAAGACTGGTAGTAATGTGAACTGCAACCCTTTAACGCAAGTGGCAGGCTGCAGAAGACTGAAGAGAAGCACAAGCCTTGTGCTTCACAAGATGATGAAAGTGAGAAACTGGTGACAAAGTTCTGACTGCACACACTACCAGACCAGTTGGCATCACTGCATTTCAAAGCACTATGTCAAATTCAGGCCTAGCAAACCTCGACGGAATGTACCGCTTCCAAAAAAATGGAATGCCCCAAGCTTTATTGCAAACTAACACGGAATAAAACATTAGATCCAGCAAGGTGTTTCAGTGACACATTCATTTAACCACGCTCAAGCTGTAACATCACAGCGTATGCTGTCAGCAACGCAAGGTCCTGTGGACTGAAAAGAACATGCGCAACAAATTGCTTCTGGGGTTTGCTTCCGAAAAGCAGACCAAAACCTGCTGGAATACTCCGACAACTACGTTACATTTCAACTCTTGGAAAGAACAGATTCGCAGACCAGAATGAAGAGTAAAAAAAACAACACACAGGAACGCAGAAAAAGAAGAAAGGTGTAAAAAACACAGGAACTCCGAAATGTTGTGACTGCAAGACCAGATTTTGATGTGCCATGGCTGAGGAAGGTCAGCTTTTGGGGAGCTGACGAAAACGAGCGCGCGTGTTTTACGGACACCCCTGAACACGTGGGCTTGGCACGCAGCTGCATGGGGCCGCGCTGCCCACCGGCATTACACCCCAACGACGGGATGCCATTTCCTCTGGGAAACCGCTACAGAGCGGGAAAGCTGGACACGGACTAAGGCTCATCTACCTGTCAACTGGCTGGTCTCCGCGTCTTTTTTCAAACTAGGCTCCCTATCAACTCCCATGCTGAGACAGCAATACCTCAAACCATCACATCTCTGCAAACCGTGAAACCCAACTTCATTTTGCTCCTGAAATTTTATGTATTTTAAGTTAAATGAAAACATAAACAGACATAATTTGTAATACAAATGTTTATACTCTAATAATATCAAATACTGGTGTTAAAAATGATACACCTACTTTTAATAACTAAATAAATGAAATACAAATACATTCTCACATACAACTATTAACTATCGGAATTAGTGCTGATGGGAGCTGTTGGTTCACAAACACGTCAAAACCAAATAAATAAATAAGTGAGAAACAAATGAACAAAAAAACCCCCGACAGTGACAAGCGTACAGATCTTGCTCTAATAAACAATAGTAAGAAAACCCCCAAACATTCTGTACTAGGAGAGAACACTTCAAAATGCTGCTGGGTGTGCAATCGGAACACTTACCATGTCCCTTTTATGTCTGAATCTTAAGGATGTTCCTCTATATTTACCTTATCTTTGATTTTGTCAGCTCTGGTGTCCAAAAGCTGCACTTTGCTTTGCTCCTGGTTGTACTTGCGGCCTCCTGCTCCTGAGGTAATAGCTTTCACTTGTCCTGCAGATGTTGCAATGGTAGTGGACAGTACAGATGTGCCGATACCGGACACGGCAGTGGTGCTGTTCCCATTCAGTGATCCGTTGATACCTTCAGATGACATTTACAAAGTGACACAAAATCTGAATAGCAGATACCATCTCCCAGACGTTCCCGCCACGCTCACCCAGCTGCCAGAGACGTTAACAAGCCACGAGACTACTGCAGTTAATCCCAATGCACATGGAAAATCCACCATCCGAGAGTCACTTTGATTTGCTCGTGGAGTGATTTTAATTACATGCAGAACACTTATAACTTAACGGCAAACACACAGAATGCTGTGAGGAAAAAAACCAAAAAACCCCAACAGTCTGAAACTGTCCACTTTTAAGCCCAAACTATCCTTGCGTTTAGCCAGGGGCAGAAGAATTCAAAAATCTCACAGAGAAATTTATTTACAATTCTGAAGTATCAATCAGCTCCAAAGAAAACCACCTGAAGCCCAAGGTACTTTGAGAGTTACGCAGTGTGTAAAAGGAGGAGGAGTGGGAAGCTGTGGGAATCTGAAGGAACAGCCACATTCAAGCATGGTTCTGTCACCGTTGTTTCCCAAGAAAATGCCCCGAACGCCTCCCACACAGCAATCCCATGACTGTTATTAGACTGACTGTGAAACACACGCCAGGCCCTAAACAAACCAAAGCCCCATGAAAGAAAGCTCTGCTTGTGCCTCCGAGATTCACAGAACTAAGTATCTCGAGTTGGAAGGGATCCACAAGGATCATCAGGTCCAACTCTGGCCCCCCACAGAACAACATTAACCCACAGACAGAGTGTTCTCCATGGACAGGCCTGGTGCCATGGCACGTTCCTGGCAAGCTTCCTCACCCTCGCAGCAGAGAACATTTTCCCAACATCCAACATAAACGTCCCCGATGCAGCTTTACGTCACCGCCTCGCATGCCGACACAGACAGACCAGCGCCTCCCTCTCCACTCCCCGTCACGAGGAAGCCGTGACGGCAGCGAACGCCCCCCAGTCTGCTGCCCCCTGAGCTGAACAAAGCTGGTACCCAACACCACGGGAACGCGGCCAACACCTCCGGATGGCGGGCAGTGCCGCTACCTGCGCTACAGGCTGGAAACGCCAGAGAATGGCCTAACGTCAGTGGCTATTTGCACGGAGATCGTGCAGGCGTAGTCAGCCCTCCCCTCCATGCCCCACGACACAACTGCCTGATGCCGGCTTCTCACACGCAGCGGATCGGTATTCCCTGCAGAAGTACAAGGCCTGCTCCACCACACCACAGTCTTGGAAAGAAAACTTTTCCCTGCTATTCAGTCCCAGACAAACTATCTAAGGGAAAAGAGGGGGGAAATACTAGTATTAAGAGTATTCTGGTATTGAAAGCCCACACTCGTACGCCTCATGCTGAGCTCGCAGAATGCATTTCCATAGCATTGCTTAGGAATGGGAAGAACGACCAGAGGTAAAGCTCAAATTCCCCTGCTTTCTGCACGTGCAGAACATGGATGCAATTATTCCCTCTACAACACCAGCTGTTACCTTTTTCTGTGCTGCTCCAACTGCTTTTTCCTGTAGCTCTGGAGTGGAATGAAGCCGAATCATGATTCTGGGCAGGGGGTGCAAACAGCGCTGGAACTCCCAAGAGCGGTGGGAAGAAAGCTGCCCCGGGACGAGAGTGCGCGTCAGCTGCTCGCCACCATTCTGCACCGCAAAGGAAGTGAAACCAGACTTCAGGTGGTCCAATAATGCATTTCAATACTCCTGTAAGCACGCCATGTGCGTGATCCAGAGTGCGTTTACCCAGCCTGGGAGCAAGAAGAAAACCCCAGGCTTCAAACCATCCCCCTTCTCCCCAGAACGGTGAAAAAGCACAACAGCTTTAAGTAAGCTCTGCCATCTCCGTCCTGGAATACTCCAAGGCCTCTCCACAAACCCCCACCTGAGGGGCAGGGCCCCAGGGAGTGACCTATCTAAGAGTAGTCTCTACCGATAGCTGCACACCCACTCCAAGGGATTTCTGCCCTGGAGTTCGGCACGGGATTGGAAGAAGCAGCCTGTTGTTCTCTGTAACATCCCTGTTACCATGGTTCTTTTACAACCAGACGCAGGACCACTTCTGTGAATTCCAGTGGTTGAGGAAGGAATACACATTTCTTACTTTACAAACACTCCAACACTCCTTGTGGGTTTGTTGCTGTTTAAAACTTCCACCTTAAATGGTTATTGACTACTGTTCTCCAAGAAAATGAACTTCAAAGAAGCTGATGCAGTCCCCACAACTTCCAGTTGTTAAAGTCCTTCACTACAACAGCAGTCATTTATTTACCCAACCCTTACGGAATCCTCTTCTGCACATTCTTGAGCTTCTACAAGACCAAGCTGGCTGGCGTTTCTCGGTAAGCACCGCTAAGCCTACAGAGCCCCCCAGGAGGCGCATACGCAGCACGCTGCCCTGCTCACAGGCTCCTGCACCTGAGCAGGAGCCCACAACTGCGGACTCCAGAGGTGCATGGAGGACACCCTCACAAGTGTCAGGGTCTTTTCCACCAGCTGTCGTGGTAGCTACAATGACCTTTTTAAACACATTTATTAGTCAACAACTGAAGAGAAATGGAACTGAAGGGGTTTGCCTTGACAGAAGCAGCTACTGGTTTGGAAAAAAGTTTTTGGTTCAGGGGTTTTTGGTTGTGTGTGTTTGTTTGTTTAATTTTCATTTTATAAAAAGTTAATGAACTTCCTTTTCTTGAAAATTAAAAAAGAAGAACCCTTCAGGGGTGATAATATCAGAACAACAAGACTGGACTGTTCAGCTTTTAACAGTTTCACACACTGGGATTACTGCCCCTCAAAGCCAAACCACTGAATCACGGTATCGGTTACTCATGTGAGAAAAAGGCTGGCAATTTATATTCTCATGGGGATGCATTTAAACCTCTTTCCAGAGTCCATTTTCTTTTCCAACGCACCTTCTTATTTTCAGCAATGGGTGAAAAAGAAGAAAGCAAGGAAAGTATCTGTTTCCTTGACCAGAATGCTTCAATTATTCAGGAACTAGTGCTGCTTTGACCAATTAAACCAACAGTATGGGATCTATTCCATAATGGTCTCACACAGGTGCTTTGTCTGTTTAACCTGGGAATATGCCAAAATAATTCGTTTGCAGTGCAGCCTCCCTGGCAAAGCAGAAAGACTTCCAGTGCCAACCCACTATGCATCATGGGGACCTGGCAGGGTGTGCAACCAGGTTTATTGCAGAGGCTCCAAATAGATTACTGATTGCTGAAAAAAGAAGTAGATTAATTGGAATAAAAAGAACCTAAATGCATAGATTAATAAGAGATAGTAGAGGCACCTTAACCATAATTGTTTGTTCTTAAACATTTTATTAGATTCTAGAGAAGTGCGTTTTTCAATATAAAGACAATTCAATTATCAGAGATTTCAGATATCGCCCTTTTTTTTTTTTTTTTAATATCACAGAAGTAAGTAACATCTCAGTTTAGGAACGGCCAAGGAGACCAGTCCATCCTGACTACAACATATCTTGCAAATTCAAGGAAGTTTTGACTCAATGACATTGCTTTTCCAGCCATGGGTCATTCCCTGGGAAAAGAGTCTTTGGCTGGTGAAACACCCCTGTGAAGTTTCTCCAGGACCAGGTACACCTTTTCAGGGAGGATGCAACAGTAACCACAGTGTGCTGTGCCAGCTAGAGGAATAGATAACACTCATCAATAAAGCTGATGGGAAACAAGTGACAGTAAACTCCATTCCAGCTTGGTTTTCAGAATACAAAGTGTGCTTGAGAAAATATGTAGGTCCTTAAAGACCGCATGCAACCAGGCAAAGGATCTGACCATGAAAAGGAAACAACCCACGAATACTGGGAATGTGGAGCTATTAGTTATCAGAGAGAAATTAAACTTCTTAAATTAAAAGAATAAAATTTTTAGAACTAGCTCAAAAAGGACTGCCTGGGTTTTGCGACAAAGAAACGGACAGTTCAGTATCTTCACTACCTTACTCACCTGCTGCAGTCTTACCATATTTTGACAGACCAGACAGATGTGCTATATATACACAGCCTGTTACATGCTGTAAGATCTACACAGCAAACCCAGCAAGGAGAGGTAGATGAGTCACAGACCCTCCGTTTGGGGCTGCCCATTTACAGTCAGATGGAAATGAACTCCTGCCACATTCTAGGAACCACCACGGAGACCCATTTCAAATGGGATGGGCTAATGAACACCGAGACCAGAGTCTTTTAGAGCTGAATTTGTAGTGGGGTACTGAAAAATAAAACCGTATCCTGGGCTGGATCCAGAGCAGCGTGGCCAGGGGGGCGAGGGAGGGGCTTCTGCCCCTCTGCTCCGCTCTGGGGAGACCCCCCTGGAGCCCCTCTGCCATCGGGACAGGCTGGGGGGGGTTGGGGGGTTTGTCCCTAGAGGAGATTCAGCCCTGAGAAGAGAAAGCTCCAGGGAGACCTTATTGCGGCCTTTCAATATATAAAGGGGGACTCTAAGAAGGATGGGGACGGACTTTTTAACAGGCCCTGTAGTGACAGGACAAGGGCTAACGGGTTTAAACTGAAAAGGGTGGATTCAGACTAGACCGAAGGACAAAACTGCTTACACAGAGGGTGGTAACAGACTGGCACAGGCTGCCCAGGTGGCAGATGCCTCACCCCTGGAAACACTCAGGGTCATGCTGGACAGGGCTCTGAGCCATCTGATCTAGCTGAAGATGTCCCTGCTCATTGCACAGGGGGTGGGACCAGATGACCTTTAAAGGTCCCTGCCAACCCAAAATATTCTACTATTTGTTCTGGACCAGCTTTAGTTAACAACTTTTCTGGCTGATGTTAGAGTGATTAAAATACATAGTTGAGACAGAATCCCAGGTACGCAGACATGCTGCTTTCTATTTTTCTTCCCAAGGAAGCTGCAGATGAACAAACAAGGCTGCAGCGGGGCACTCTGAAACTCTGGGTTCTATTGTATTAGGGCAGAAGAGTTTTTCCAGTTTGGAAAATACACACTCTACCGCAAGAACAGTTTGCTCTGAAAGCAGTGGATTACCACAAGTGTAAGCTGAAATGTCCCTGGTTACGTTATAAGACCCAAGTTGGTACTCAAACTAACAAAAAGAACGTGTGTGATCTGCTCTCCGAAGTGAAGAAAAAAACAGCAGGAAATAGTTATCTGCCATTTCTTGTTCAGTTGATGACATCGGCGTTAGTTATTCAGTTGACATACCAGTTTCATTCACAAAAATTAGATTCTCGCATGCAGAAATCTTCCTGTCAAGGCTAATGTTTCCCAATTCACCTTTTCAATCTCAAATTCCATTAGAATAAACTGTTCCTCCAGATAGAAAAACACAGCAGGAGTTGGGCTGGAATGCTGAGAACGTGCTGTATGTTCAAGAAGTTGATTATTTGACCTTAAGGTGAAAGTGGCACAGAGTTTGCTAAATCAATCCTTACTTTGGCCCTTGCTTCTGCAGCAGCTTTGTAAACTGAAAATTTCTCTCACATTTGAATTATGCAATGCTAAATTCATGTCAGCCCTTCAATAAACAAGTACTATGTAAAACATGTTCACATCATCTGAGTGTCGTTTAGCACAAGAAAACCCAAATATTTTCCTTTGATGCACCTGTGCAAGGGCATAATCTGGGCTGTACCAATAACTCCAAGTGCTGACAAACACCCAGGTCACACTGCAATATGTAACTGAGCCATCTTACCGCTCGTGTTGATTGTGGAACTCAGTGACGCGGCTCCAGTGGAAAGGCCATCTTTCAATACGGCTGAAGCTACAGACGGCGCAGAAGATGCTGGAGTTGCAGTAGCTGCCGTAGAGGAAACGGATGATGACGTTAACCGCTCCCCAGACTCCATATCTGCAAGAGAGAAGATAGATGTCTCTTCTACAGCAGGAAATGCAATCACAAGGGGGCTCCAGGAGTTTCTGTGCTGGCCATGCCTCAGGATCTGCACTGATTCCCAAGTGGCTCCTGAGCGACCTTCATGTGGAGGTACAGCACAGGAACAGCACTCGGACAGCCAGGGAATCTAGCACAAGTGCACCAGCAAGGGAATTGGGTAGAGCTGTTGAGAGCTATGTCACCTTCCAACTGGAACACCAAGAGCCTCGCCTGGGAGCGCCATGCACCCCCTCCACTGCCCAGGAGCCTAATTTGGGCTCAGACTGGTGCCTTCAGCCCTGGCTGGAGCCAGGTCACAGCTGCAGCCCAGTCTGTACCCACGCCACCTTGCTAGATCCTCCTCTTACAGCTTCCCTCCCAGCCTGCATCAGCTCCTGCCTTTTGCTGCTCCTGATCAGTCTCCTGGATAGACCCCAGGCCTGGGAGATGATTCTGTCTGGAGCCTGCGACCAGCACAGGGCTCAGCTCCTGCGGGGCTGTGCCAAGGCCAGGAGAAGCATCTCCTACGTCACCCTCACCTGCCTGCTGGCCCTCCTTGCAGAGGGGCCCTGCTCTTGCTGTTCCTAGACAGAGCCCATCTTGGAAGAACCTGCAATGCACGCGCGCAAGTCCACAGATAGTCTCTAAACTCAGGAAAACACCAGCGATTACGGTGAGATAGTATAAATAGAAGAATATAAATATCTTGTAAGCTGCTCGCTTTTCTCCCCCTGGTAAGCCGTTCATCTAAAATAAGGCACTTTTATTTGTGCCATAAAATGCCTAAACCAAAGTTACCAGACTTATTTCACTGAACAAGCATTTTAAGAAAAACACAGTAAAATTAGTATTGAAATAGCACTTGCTGAGAAGTAGTGCCTCAAATCCTTAAAAAGTGCAGCCAAGCAAATGCTGTCTAAGCACAGGGCTGGGAGTCAAAGGACTCACTCAATCTGCTGGAGCTGTAGTTGACAATCGGGATCGGGGTGTAAATGAAGCGGGGAAGAGACCTTCCAGAGTCCCTTTGTCATTACAAGGGCACCAGGGCTAAGCACAGTGAACTCCTAACAGGGAAACCCCTGAGAAACCGGGGAGCCTCCTTCAGTGACAGTGGCAGCACGCTCTCCCAGACGGGTCGCCAGGAACGTGAGGGGCCGAGTACCACGCTGAAGTCAAACAACTGCTGTGAAACCTCGCTCCCAGTCTGTGCAAAACTGTATGCCAAGCACACAAGGGAGACACCTCCCCAGACTCTATTTTAATCAGTTGAGAAAAGGGATGTGTTAAACAGCACTCCCGATCCAAATGATGTTACACAGCGACTTCCTGAATCCCCGCCTGAACGGCGGTGTAGAGGCTGGTCTCTCCCTGCTTCTTCTCGGCCAGTAAAAACGAAGCTTAAAAAGCCACAGAAAAACACACAAAACATCTGGAGGGGACACAGCGCCCATTCTGACGAAATCATGAATTCCTTATCACTAACAGTCTCTCTTCGTGGCAATTTTCCATGTGGCCTGTAAGGTCTCCAGAGACAAGACGCTACCGTCCCCAAGTGCACACTGTGCTAGGAAGGGAACTACCGTACCCACCAACTGCCTGCCCTTCACACAGACTGCCAACACCCCTCTGCCGAGAGCCACAAGGCTGCAGTGGTTTTACCCTTCACAGCCCAACTTATCACACAGACGCAGAAAAATCAGCTACTTCCAGCGAGAGGGTACAGAAGGTACCGACTGCTGCACCGAGTGATGAGGGCTGTGAACTCCTTCAGAACAGCGCTGGAAACCATGACAACTGCTTCCTTCGCAGTGTTCATCACGGCAACGTATTATTCAACATTTAAAGTTTTAAATTCAAGATTCCTAAATCCATACTCTTCTCCAATTAAACCTTTTCTATTCCCAGTTGGAGAACCTCTCATTGATTTTTTAGTAGTCTGTGAACATAATTCAGCTGAACTGTGACTCAGTAGAAGCAGGTCACTGAAAATATGGTCTATACCATATGCTTCAAACGGTACATCCTGCCCCTTGAATCTACAAATATTCCTAAGGATAATAATTGATAGAAATCCCTTTCACAATGGATTAAGATTTATGTCTGTATCTACAGATTGCAGTCTGCAGCATCTGCACACACACGTGCTGTTCCACACTATAAACCCCGACCTCTCGGTGCACAGAGACTGGGAAACAGGCAGGAATGAATGTGACAGGGTGCACTAGGAGCGGCTGAACTGGGGTGAGGCCAAGGGGCTGCCCTGGAGCAGAACCCCACGGGTTTACTGCACTCGGGTGTTCCTCGCGGTGGGCACGGCCACCAGGAATGCACAGTACGCAAGGACGGCATCAGGAAACCAGAAACCATGGTAGTTGTGCCTCCCGACAAAACAGCCCAGAACTCTCCGATTTCTAGAAAGAAATGTTGTCACTTTGTCACATTTTCACATATTCCATAACTGAGCACAGTCAAGACCCACCCACAGGCGATCCGCTTTGCGTCATCCACGTGAGGATTTCCTTGGAAAATCAGGGCCTGTTTTAACACAGAGGCCACATCCCGCTGTACCTGGAGCTTGCACCCATGCAAGCCGCCCATCTGAGCGGGTGATACAGCACCTGGTAAGAGCTACCAGAATAGAAATGAACTGCTCCCCTAAGGCTCCCCCCACCTCCCCTCCTTTTATCTGTTTCGGTTTGCGGGGGTGGGGGGTATCTGGGGCGACGTATTTTCGACCTTTCATTCACCTGCCTGGTTGAAGTCGTGCATGGGAAACTGGAATATGATGCTTTGGAAGTGAAGAAGTGCCACCCTGTTCCCGGAGGCACACATCCTGCTGCTTTCCAACCAAGTCAGCCCCTAATCATGATCAGGTCATTCCTCGACCCACAGCAGATGGCAGACCCCAAGAGATAATCCCCGAAACAGCCATTAGTCAGGATCAGCCAGAAATACACTGCAGCCCTAATGCATCCTGCAACTACAACCGTCCGTACCACGCACAGAAAAGCCATCTCCTTTTTAACCTCGAGTATAAATGAGACATTTGTTCCACTGCAGTGCATTTTGCCAGCCAATGCCTGTGATGAACACTCACACTCGTTCTCCAGCTCTCCTACTTGCAAGAGAGAAATTGAATGAGGAAAACTAAGGGGGTGGGAGACTTTCTTTTATTTTCCAGGTCAGTGATTTACATCAGTTCCTCTCAGTGCCTTGCCCAGATCTCCACTTACTTTCCCAGAATTTTCCATAGTGACTAACAATCATGAATGCAACCGAACGCCATGAAAACAGAAAGCGAGCTCTCGTTGAGGGAGCGATGGGAGTACGTGCTGCTTGACAGAAAGAAAATGTTGTCTTCTCAAGGAAAAAAAGACTAATATTTAATAAAAACAAGAACACCAAAACCAGTGTAGAGCTTACTAAAGGAAACAACAACAAAGTCCTTTTCACATTTAACAAGGTGACATTTCTTTACATCACCTACCAATTCCATGTCTGAACTAACACCACCGCAGGGAAAAGCCACATTCTTACTCCTGAAGTAACCGCCTCCACAGAACGTCGTCACAGACAGACAGCATCCCATCAACGTTAGCTGGGATGCACGAATACTGCAAAGTGCAGCTTGAAAAAAGCTAACCAGCAGACATCCCTCCAACTCCTACGTGTTTCATTATCTCAGCGATTACCTCCAACACCGAGAAAAAGCAGTTTGAAGTCCGGGGGTAAAAAAACACTTCAGCCTCTTTCAGTGATCAAACAGGTATCTGACCGCCAACTGGAGGGACATCCCACGACAGCCGGTGTTCTCCGGCCTCCCAGCAAGGTACTTAACTGCTTCCCACTGTAAAGCTGCCCACTGGGACAGCTCCTCAAGCCAAGGCAAGGGCTCTAACACTGGATCCTACAGCTGCCAAAGGGAAGCATGCCATGTGCTCAGAGCAGACGCCCCAGCTCAGCACAAATCCCAAATGCAGCTCCGTTTTGTGAAGTCAGATTTAGCATCAACCTCTTCTCCTTCAGCATGGAGCAGAGGCCCATAAGGCCAGCACACAGCACGGGTGCTGAGGCCTGACCCAGCAGCCCAGGGCACCTGCGGGTTCTATACCATGGCATCACAAGGGCCGTAGCACCAAGGAGCGGCCGTAAAAACCGTGGTATGCCAAAACATACACCAAACAGGTACCCTGACCAGAATCTCACTCCTCGGAGGAGTGTTGGACCCACGGGAATGGGCACAGTTTGTTACAGACCAACTACAGACAGGGGAGGCTCCCAGCAATCCTCCTGCTCTGCGACAGGTTCGGGCTCAAAACACGCACTCTGCTACTGCTACCCTGTTTCAGACATCCAAACTCACATACGGTGTCAATGTAACTAACGAGATGCTCTTCATGGGACTCAAATGCGGTCCAAGCCTTAAAGGCCAGGTTCAGTGCCAAACATTCCAAGTTTTGCAGAACTTCACTGTAATTCTGTCACTTTCAATCATTTCAGCACGTCACAGCAAAGCAAGACAGTGGAACAGGGCTGTATCCAAGATGTGCACTTTCTCCTGAATTAGCGCTATTCTGAGTCCCCGTGAGCTGGCCAATGCTGACCCCACCTCCTTCCCTAACCCGCCTGAAGACTCTTCATCAGTCAGGGGCTAGGAAGTTCTACGTATACAAAAAGCTAGATTTGGCTTTTCCTGCTCGTCTCCGTGGACACGCTATCTAGAGTCACTGGAGGCAGCAGTGTCCATGGACTGAATTACAGGGGCTGTCAAACAAGGATCTGTGTGGGAATGACAGAAGGAACTGTGACCACAACAGTATCCAGAAAGTTTTTCCAGTGGAACATTTTGAAAACTGAAATCGTATTTCAGTTGAGCACCACAGTTTCTTACCCACTGTTACACACTGTAAGTACCAGTGGAAGCAACACTAATTCCAAAATCCAACTGAAACCAGGTGAAAGACTCCCACAGCC